AGAGAAAACAGTGCTATAATTGTAAAGTGAGTCGGTTAACAGTGTAAAGGAATAAATACCACTGAGGACGAAAGATAATTTTACATGATAGCGTTACGGCTCTGACACAAAATTGCTACATGAGTGGCCAAAATACAAATTTGGAAGTTTACGCGAATTGTACAAAAAAATACTCGAATGCCGGTGGAGTATGTGACTTAAACAGAGAGCCAATCCATTATTGACCAACGCTGCTCCAGGTAGCTCCATCTATTAGATTACAGCAAAAGGTCAGCTTCTGACATGTTGGGCCTTTGTTGTTTTAACACAGAAATCTATTAAACAACGACTCAGGGTGGGCAATATCTGCACAAAAGCGAAGAGGTGAGCTTTCCTGTTTGCTGAAGACCAAGCGGGCACGGTGGAAGGAACCTAACGAGGGCTGGAGAAATAAACCGCTCCACGTTATTTGTCTCTCGGGATGTGTAAATTACAATGCAGCCTGTGCAGGGCATTTTGTTGTTATGCTGGAATGCACACACAGCTACTTGCTAACAAAGATCCCCCGTATAGCCTTAACAGACTGTACACGAGGGGGTGGATGGCGAGCACCACGCCCGACCGCCTTTGTCTCCCGAGTGGCGATGTTTGTACACCGCACCAAGTACTCATTTGAGACTGAGTCGACGTAGGGGAGGCCCAGGACGAGTTTAGGTATTCGTCACTGGTATTGGCCGTGAGCGGGAATCGAACTCGGGACACCGGATTCCAAGCGCAGCGTGCTACCTGCTACACCACCGCTCCCCACTACTTGATAACACACACGCATACACACGCGTGCGTGAGTCCGCACCTCCTTATGTGTGGGCAGTGAGGCAGCTGTGGTGCGACGTTTTAAATTAGCATGACAGAATGAAAAGCACTCTCAGGTTTTCCCCCACGTATTTTTGAAGAAATTGTTCGCGATATTCTGTTTGCAAAGCGAAACATCCCAATAATTTAATTTTTTTTACACGGTACAGCAGCTTATCTGTGAAAAGCTGTTTTAGTTGTGTATAATTTAGCATACTTTGTGGACATTTAATCAAAGAGATTATGTAATTTTGATTTAAAGCTTTCGTGACTGCAGGGATTCATATTCTTGGTTCTTTTGCGTGTGTGACTTTACCAAAAGAACCAAGAATAAGATTATGTAATGTTCACCGTGAAAGCAGTATGCAATGTTGTATTTGAAATGTTCTTTTCAGACAACCTTAAGTCTCTCTATTTTGCATTATACCCAAAGCCACCCACTGCACATGTGTGCATGTACATTCCTGTGTCAATCCACTGCTGGATGAGGGCCTTGCCCTATGCCGTGCAGCTCATGAGGGTTAATTGGCAATACAGCACGCATCTCTCTCTCGAGGCTCCATCCTGCTTGGCTTCTGAGTTCTGATGAGATCAGGCACATTTCTGTGTGACGTGTTCATAGGCGATCGCTGTGCATACCGTTAATTGAGTCAGTCCATGTTATGCTTCAACTGTGAAGCACACGTGCCTGTTCGCCTCGCGTTGGAGGGCATGTTAAATATAAACTGGAAAAGTAAATCACTTTGGTATGAAATTACCATTCGTTTACATTTACAGGTATTTTGTGACCACAATTTCAGACACAATGCTGAATGTCACAGTAGTTTTAGGCTCCGATATATTTGCAAGCAAATGCAATAACTTGCCCGCTTATTCTTTCAGAAGTTGAATTTACTTTGGTTGGTCTCCACACAAGGGGTGGCACTTAGTGATATTTATGGAATTCATATTTGTATTCAGTAACACGTAAGCGGATTTTATAATCGAAACTTATAAAGTACAATATTTCTGTGTAGATCCAAACCACACACACACACACAGCATCAACAACAATTAATGTATTCTATATCAAATTTACGTTCGGCAAAATGGCTATGGATGAAAGCCTGCTCATGCCATATCACTCATGGGGTTGTTTAACCATTTTTCACCACGTTTTGTCTTTTTTAGTGAAATGAAGGGGGTGGTGCATGACTGGTTCAGATATCCCTCGCCACTGAAGTTAACCGTGGCCGAGAATTTAACTCAGGTTACAGGGTTCATAACGTGGCAAGATAACCTCTGAGCTACCCCCATTTCACCCTGTTAATATACACCTTGGATCTCAGAGCAAAACATATGCTGAAGCAGCAGGTGGGATGGTTGTACGTTAAAAACAGACCCAACTTCTTCAAAATATTCCAGAGAAATGGATTGACAAGTGCCTAGTCCTCTCACTTTATTAAATGTGAGCAAAAGCCCAGGATACATTTTAATGCATGAATTACTCCATCTGTGCCCTATTGACCTTTTGTGCCACGTGAACTCAAACAAATTTGAATATTCGCTCGTCTTACTGTCATCTCTCTACTATGCAAGGATAGTATTCATTACCTCTTTAAGACACCTTCAGAAGGACGTATTCTCAATGTTCCACACACAAGGACCTTTTAATGATTTCTGCATATATAAATTTATTTTTAAAAATATTTTGAAAGCATCACAACCATAATATATTGCATCAGCCAAAAGGTGGAATGTAGTTATTTTCTTGACAGCAATATTATTTGTAGGCTTTCAGGGGAAATGACCTATACTGTCACGTCTGATCTCTGCAAGTCGCTCACTCTGATAACTTTTCCACCCACATAGCCTGCCGGGACTTTATTTCTTCCCAGCAATACATTCCAGACGATCCATCATTATCTTACCCACCAATTTACTAAGCCCAGTCAGCCACCATTCTGCAGGCTGCTTGCTGGCACAGAAACAAAAGAATAATCACATTTAAGTATGAGCCCTGGTCTCAGGTTGCACACCTGGGATACATCAAATAGTGACTTGCTCCACGGAAAGTTGGCGCTCGGCACGTTAAACTGTCGAGGGACAAATTGTATGTGAATTTATTGGTAAATAAACGACCTAACTGAAAACAAATTACCATTGCAACTCCGGTCACATGCTTCCATCTGCTTTTTTTTGTAAACGTGGTCTAAACTGTGGCTTTTTAATCCGATAAATTAGTTCGGGAACAGGTAATGAGAAAAGTGTGAAGGTTGGTGGCACGTTGCGCTACCTTTTTTTGTTGTTGCTGCCAACATTGTGGCATGATTGACAACTGAATAATGCGAATAAGATGTGTTAATAATGGGTGTGCTGTTAAGTTGCTTGTCCAGTTTTCGGATGCAAAGCTTGGCATTGCATAAATATTACCGTTACACCCAGATAAACACATCCATTATATACATACACTAATTATACGCTTCTATTGACAAATTGTTTTATTTACATGAAATTGGAATTAATTAAATTGAAATAAAAATAGAGGTAAAAATAAGCATATATGTGTGCAGACCACCCAAAGTAAAATCATTTACATAAAAGTAAGAGGTAAGAATATATGCTATGATGTTGTACCGCAAAATGTACACGAAAAACCAAAAGTCTCAATTCTGTAATTATAAACATTATTTTTTATTATCATCATCATCATCTATGATGAGGGCCTCGCCAAAGCCGCTCCGCCACCTACGAAGATCCTGCGATGTCATGATCCACCTAACACCTACACATGAACTGATGTCATCACTTCTTCTCTTCAGTGAACGTCCTCTCGGACAAATTCCATTCCTTAGCTGCTACCCCCTTATTATTTTTGGTCATCAACCCCTTCCAGCGATGAGTCCTGCCCAAGACAAATTATTCTTCTCAGCAGTTCTAATTATTTTATTAACCCGCGAATGTTCTCTAATCGACGGTCTTCTTTTTGTCACTCAATGGTCCTTGGTATATGCTTCATACAATGTAATACATCATCATAATGATGAAGTATTGTTCATAAACTTGGTTGAAAGCAATTTTGATGATAAATAAATAATTTACAAGCGTGACATGAGCTCCTCCTGCTGGAAGTAATGTTTTTCAACGTCGATAAATCACAATGGACATTTGGTACAGCCTTTAAAACATGGCTATGTCGTAAATGGGTATCAGCGGTCAATGTGGCAAAGAATGGTGATGATGTAAACAGTATTTATAAAAATAGAATCCTGCTGTACAAATCACCATATTCTCTGGGTTATGAGACACCTATATTCTCCCTGTATGAAAACAAAAGTTTGGGGTGCATCTTACTTTCGGAGAAAACGGCAATCCAGAAAATATGGGACATTGGGCCAATGTTGGTCCAACGGTTCAAGCCATGCCAACGTTACCCCAGCATTATCTAGTTACAGGGAATATACACTAATAAGTAGATTGTGCACAATTACATGACTAAAATCCAAATAAAGCATCCTTCCCATCGCACATTTGTCGAGAAATCAGATTTAAAGCAATGTTTAAGTTAAATTTTCATTTCTGAAGGTCGTTTGTTTAAAAATGGCAGTTGCACGGTCGAATTTGTAAACGCTGCAGTGATGTGCAACGATTTAAAACTTGGATGTGAAGGAGAAATACAATTTTCATAAAAACATCACCAGAGTGGACCCAAGCCAAGATTGTTATTTAACCAGGAGTAAGCAATGTCGATGACAAACTTTAACGCCCTTTGCAAGGACTGATCCTTACTGGATCAACAACATATATCAAGTTCTTAAAAAAAAAATTAACTATATATTGATTTTTTTTCTTCGTCTGCTAAACGTGTGTGGCTTATATTTATCCACAATTCCCCAAGGGACTTCATCCCAAAGCTGGGACCTTTTTTTTCGTTGTTCGTTTTTTATCCTTTCGGTAAAGTCACGTAGATAGAAAATTATTAATAGATCACGACGTTTCGATTGCAACACAAGCGAACGTCGCGATCTATTCATAATTTTATATCTACGTGACTTCACCGAAAGAACCAAAGAGTATGGATTCCTGCAGTCACGAAAGCTTCAAATCAAGATAGTTTTTTTATTCGTTTCGGTTAGAAGGCATGCATTTTAAATCGACACCAAAGGTGAAACTTAGACACCACAACTCACCACACTGTCACTGTGCAGAACCTCCACGATGTCGCTCAGAAGAGCCACCGTGTGCTCTGCCTCATCCATGTGGCTCAGCCATAGCTTGATGTGGTCCGTCATGACAGGCAGGAGAACTTGGCGGCACTCTAGAAAGCATTGCCAACAACAGCAGCAGCATCTAACGATTAATCGATTCGTTAAAAAATGTATTATTATGCTCACTGTCATCATCATCATCATCAACCATTCTGAATCCACTGCTGGATGAAAGCCTCCCCAAACTGCCGCCATCTCTCTCGATCCTGCGATGTAACAATCCACCCAGAACCTGCGTACGAGCTGATTTCATCGCAATTTCATAACTCTATCTATTTTCGGATTTGTCACGCGCCCTTTAGAATTGTTAAGCAGATTGTGAGCCGGAGAGGGCAGTGGGATGGATGACAGTTTGAAATCATAGTGGAAGGATAGACGTGGCTTGTAGATTCATACGTTAAAATCGATTCACATGCTCATAATATACAAATTTAAACGTGTAAGTAAGTATATTATTTTGTACATATATACATTGCAAGTAATATTTGCATGATCCCTACTACCACTAGAGGCCGCTATATTTACCACAATAGAAAACATTCCTGCATCGAATCACCCACCGTGAATCGTGACAATTTATCAAACTACGAGGGGAAGTGGGTGGTAGGGGCCGACTTATTGTGGGCCAAGTCCTCACAGTGTGTTGAAAATTATACCGGGTGTCACAAAAAAAAAACCCTTTGTCATTGCATGCACCAATTTAGGGCAGGCTATTCTGGAATTTTGATTGGCAGGTGTTTTTTGTGTGTGTGTGTGAAACACCACGACGTTATGAATACCATAACGAATACCACGTTGTGATTACCGTGGAAATTTTCAGGCAATGACCTCTCCCCACGTGCAACATCGCCACACAGCAAGAGATGAATCACCGATTTTACAAGCGTGCAAAATGGTGATGCTAAAAAAAAAATGCAATTCCAATGCTGAAAACAAAATGATAGGATACGCGCTACAATTTCATTTCAACGCATGTAACCGATGCTAATGAACAGCGTGGCATTGTGCAAGCGGGATGCTGCCGTGGTGTCATGGCTAGCACGCGGTCATGGTCAGCACATTCCACAATCCAGAAGTCGCCGGTTCTATCCCATCTCCCGGCACGACAGTAGAATAAATTGGTTCGCCGTAGTCGGTCGATCGACAAGACGCATGTGGTGGTGATGGGGTATCGTGTGGATACTCCCACCTCTTCCAAGACGTCTGGCCGTAGTGGAATAGTATGCCAAATTCCACCCCACCCCCCCTCCCTAGAGCTCCCTTCTAGTGGAGGCCACTCTGCCAACAGTAGCGTGAGCAAGCAATTGCAGGGCTGCACCTTTACCACCACCGTTTTAGTGCAAGCGGATGCTCTGTATGCCGCTGCACAAAAAAAAGTCCTCTTCCAAGCGCAAGGGTGGAAAAAAAGAGATGGTATACAATGGAGTTAATAAGAAAGAAGGAATTCAGAGTGCTGTGAGAGCAAGGGAATATAAATTATCACTTTAAACAGTGCTGGGTCGGTGGATTCACTTTAGAGAGAGAGATATATATACAGACTTTTTGACTGATTGCCTCGAGAAAGAAACAAGATGGCGTGCACTCTGGAGAAGCACTACAGCGTTTTGAGCATTAGTAGTCTTAGATCATAACAGGGGATCGCGAGACAGGCAAACAAGGAAAATCAGCCTCCGTCTGACATTGTGCAGCCACGCTGCTCCTATTTGTGTTCTTTTTATTTTAGAGATTGCCAAATCAACTAAATTTTGACTTCAAACTTTCGTGACTGCAGTAAGGTAAAGTCACGTAGATAGAAAAATAATAACAAAATAAAATAATAAAAAAGTGAATAAAAAACAATAAAAATATCATGACGTTTCGATCGCAACACAAGCAATCATCATCAGGAGAAAAAAGAGTGGGAAAATTGCTGAGGCAGGCTGTTTATAAAGGTTTAGAGATGGGCGGGGCAGCTAATGTTAATGTAGGAGAGGTCTCGACATTGGCAGTAGGTCTACACCAATCAAAGAGCTGTTTATAAAGGTTTAGAGATGGGCGGGGCAGCTAATGTTAATGTAGGAGAGGTCTCGACATTGGCAGTAGGTCTACACCAATCAAAGAGCTGTTTATAAAGGTTTAGAGATGGGCGGGGCAGCTAATGTTAATGTAAGAGAGGTCTCCGACACCGGCAGTAGGTCTACACCAATCAAAGCATTGCACCTCGCTCCACACACCCACACTGCTGACGGTGGAGGTGGACAAGAAAACACAAATCAAGTCATGACCCAAAGTGCTTGATGACATCTTTCCAATGATTGCTGAGTTTAAAATCGTCTTCTCAGTTGAAATTGTGTCTGTGTCTGTATATATAGATGATTTCGTGAACGAATCTTTATTGATAGCCAGTCGGCTTGCAAAGTACCATTGTCTTAGAGAAATCAATCTAATGTGAGCCAGCCGCATTAAAGTAATGATCAGCCACGGCAGAAGTATTGGTCCTGCCATGTTTCAGATCTGCCTTCTGTTCACGAACACGGTCCAAGACATGTCGCTTAGCTTCCCCAATGTAACTGGTGCCACAGATACAGCTTAGTTTGTAGACGCCGGGATATTGCATGTTAGGAATCTTGTCCCTCACAGATGGGATCAGGTCACAAATTTTATGCACTGTGTTAAATCGGACCTGGATCTTGTGTTTGTTCAAGATTTTGGAAATATTTTTGGTTATCCCTGCTATGTAAGGTAAGGTGATGGTTTTGATTGGATTTTCAGATGGCTCCTTCCCCGCAGTTGGGGCGATGGCTTTGTGGATTGTGTAGTCAGAATATCCATTCGCCTTGAGAGCCTGGTGTACGTGTTTGATTTCACTGGTCAGGGGTTCATGGTCAGAGATACATTGGTGTAGCGTTTTGATGATGGAATTCTTCTGGGATGGATGGTGGTGGGAATCAGGCTTCAGGTAGGCGTCAGTATGGGTTACCCTCCTGTAGACAGAGTGGCTCATTGAGCCATCTGGTCTCTTTTTGATTAAGACATCCAAGAAGGGTAGCATGCCATCCTTTTCTGCCTCTCCTACATTAACATTAGCTGCCCCGCCCATCTCTAAACCTTTATAAACAGCTCTTTGATTGGTGTAGACCTACTGCCGGTGTCAGGGCTTTCTCCTACATTAACATTAGCTGCCCCGCCCATCTCTAAACCTTTATGAACAGCTCTTTGATTGGTGTAGACCTACTGCCAGTGTCGGGGCTTTCTCCTACATTAACATTAGCTGCCCCGCCCATCTCTAAACCTTTATAAACAGCTCTTTGATTGGTGTAGACCTACTGCCAGTGTCGGGGCTTTCTCCTACATTAACATTAGCTGCCCCGCCCATCTCTAAACCTTTATAAACAGCCTGCCTCAACAGTTTGCCCCCTCTTTTTTCTCCTGATGATAATTGCTTGTGTTGCAATCAAAACGTCGTGCTATTTTTATAAAATTTTATTCACTTTATTTAAAAATTTTCTTTAATTTTATTGTTATTATTTTTCTATCTACGTGACTTCACCGAAAGAACCATATAATATAAATCAACCAAAATTTAAAGTCAGATCGTGATCAAATTGGGCAACTGAAGCCGGTACTCATTCCCTGTTGAAATATGTAAGCCAGTGTTTAAATTCCTCATTCCTATGATGAGGATGAGGCTATCCATAGGACAAGCACTGTTGACATCCCCGCAAAAGTGTTGCCCATTTTATCTACCCCAAAAGGATGACGGGTTGAGTCAACCACCAAGCAGGATTTCAACTCACGATTACGAGCCGTTCGCCCATAACTCTGAGCGGCCTGGGCTGTCTAACAATGGCAAAAAATAATGGTAATGGATGATGACTTTTTTTAAGCAATCCCCTTCGATCATCTGCAATGTTTAATATGGTTCCTCGCTATTTAATTTCAGATACGTTTATGTACAGTACGACAATGAACACATACGATTCAGGGACTGTGATTTATTACTTGTGATTCATGGCTTATCAATTGTTTGCAGAAATGGTCCTGAATATGGTTGGAATTTCAAGCACTGGAGGAGTGACCCTGTTATCTTCATTGATGGGAAATAAAACCACACGAGACTATATAAGTCTACAGTACAATTTTCAACAACAGGCCAATTGGGAATATGTTCAGCTGTTCCACTGCTGGATTATATATTTTTCCGCCTGAGGACGACCGCTTGTGTTGCGATCGAAACGTCGTGATTTATTTTATTTTATACCTACGTGACTTCACCGAAAGAACCAAAGAGTGTAGATTCCTGCAGTCATGAAAGCTTCAAATCAAGATTAAAATGTTACCTCTTAATTAGTTTAGTCACACAGTATCACATCTTTGCAAACCAATAACACCCATGCGTGCAAACAGAAATTTCAACAAGACACCGCAAATTAATTCATCATTGTCATTTACTCAAATGTTATATCAGCACGGTACTCCGTGTACCATGCACACTTTGTTTTATTAATGAAACCGCCGAGATTTTATTAGCGGTGGGGCAGCGGATAGTTCACCATGCCATGGATTACGCTTTCAAGTCCACCACCAACAAGCGACGGCACATCGACAGTCGGTCATATGATGGTCATCAATGTATATAAGTCCTCGAAAAAGGAATGGCCATCACCACCTCTGCCAGCAGCCACTTCAACAGCCACCACACACGATGGAGCTACTCAAAAAATGACGAAGCCGGGGAGAAACCCAAGGAATGGTTATCGGCACAAAACACTTTCCTTATATACGACCCTAAACAGACACATACATTTCACTCAGCTCAATGGAAAGAGGACTACAACCCAGACTTCTGCTTCATCACAAATGACAAGACAGGACAGCCACTAATTGATTCACAAACAGTGAAAGTAAATTTTTCTCAAAGCCAACAAAATCTATGGCCACGTTGATACATTCCGAAGGCCAACTAATCTGGCTCTGAAAAAGAAACCAAAGCCCAATTGAAGAACCTTGAGCCAAAGCCTAAAACCTTTGATAAATCAATACAAATTCTGACATCTGCTGCAAAAAAACTACATCCTGAGGGCATATCAGAATAGCCATATGCCATGTTAGCAAGCAGAAACAAAACGGATCTTTAAACTGTTCATTTGAACTGGTGCTCATGATAAAGGCACTGCATTGCTAGAGTCCAAGAAAATGTTGGGAAGATGTTGCTGGAGGCTTGGACTTCACTCACTCCAGCCATAAAGCCTGGCAGCTCCTGTGGAATCGAGGTGCCTCAAAATCAACAGAGCACTGATCACCATCACCCACAGCAGCTTTCCACAAGCTCACCCAAGCAAGCTGTCTGGGAAACAAAGCCCAATCGGCTTGAGTCAACTAATACAAGCAACATATCGAACCATGCCATATGCGCTGTCGCTAAAAAGTCCAAGACACCGGGATATGAAGGCCTGTGTCCTCAATTCCTAAAGAGCGTGCGACCGACAACGATGGCTTGCAAACCTCTTCACCGAAATCAACACCATTCCCCTGGAGAACATTCTGCTACCAAACATCTGCTTGGCATGCATATTGCAAGGGAGTTTACACACTTTCTTGCCAACGACAACCTTCCCAGCAACCATGACCTCAACAATTTACCTTGCCACCGACTCAAGTCCCGATCCCCCTTCTGGGATCCCAATGTCAGAATCCTAGAATCTCACCCAAATCCAGAAGAACACTGGCAAAACCGAGTGGAACAACACGGATATCCAGAATAAACCCTTCCTTCGAGACCCCAACCTTCCACCTCCTAGCTTTGACATTCCTCGAAAAACACTCGTGTAACTATCAACAACATCACAACATCGACAGGCCAATGCGCACATATCCTTCACGAAGGGCACGTTTAAGACGAGCCACACAGTGCAAATTGTGGCCATGAAACTCAAACTATAGACCATACAGTAAATGACTGTGGTCTTTCCTCTTCAACTGAGGACCAGCAAAACTACATGAACTTTCGACATTGGCATTTATCGCATCAACATATTGCCATACGCAAGAACATGAAACTGTGCCATTAACCTGGCCATCTGAGTTCAATTCCCAGCCACAGCTAACATCAGGGGAGAGTGGTATCTGAAAAAGTTTCTTGGGCGCTCCCTTCAACGTGCACTGACTAGTGTGGCGGTCAAGCAACCCACACGACCAACGCACTGCGTATGTGGGCAGGGGAGAGAGGCGTGACGTCAGCGTGACACACGGACGTTGCGGGATGCGGGTGACGTCATTAGGCAGATGTGCGCGGTGACATCACCTCCGTGCACTTGTCCGCCCATGCACCAGCCGGCCAGCCAGCAAACCTTTTTATATATTTTTTTTATTATGCTTGTTTTACCCAGGAAAGCCCCCCTGAGTCTCAATATTCTTTTTTCAGGAAGGCCTGAAAAAACGCACTGCATATGTGGGCGATTGTCCTATGTATAATCTCAATTAAGTATTTTGGAGGTAATATTTTCTGCATTGGCATATTTGGCCAATACCAGTTACATTGTATGCTTTTGTGAGCTATGGGAGAAAGCTGAAGAGCCTGGAGGAAACCCATACAGAAAAGGGAGGGAAAATACAAACTCTACAAATGCACTTGATTTGGGAATTGAACACAAACCCTTTTGCTGAGGCACCATGATGACCACTGCGCATCCCTGCCACCCAAGCTATAGTGGTGTTTGTTGCAGGCCCCTTGACATTGTGGACCTTAAAAAAAGTGTGGCATTGAAAGAGACTCACCATGGTCCTTGAAGAGAGCACTGTGCACGATGTCAGACATGCAGAGCTGCTTCTGGCGGATGAGTCGCTCGGGAGACACGCTGGACATAAACCTCACAAGCAGCTTGCTGTTTTGATCAAGACAGAGCAAGAGATATAAGTTATGATTTTATAACAATACACAAGACACCTTTATTCAAGGCGTCAGTTTTTGTGCCAGTTAAAAGGGTAAAACCTATTCCTATATCTTGTTTCTGGCAAAGGAGGTCTCATAATGTTAATGCTCACCCCGAGCCCTCAATACTCTGATAGTGCGCTGTTTTTGAGTTGTACGCCTTTTGGCGTCTTCTGGTCCAACACCAATGGAGACTAGGCTCTAAGAAAAGCTGTCTCGGGTGTGGACCAATCAAATTCAAGGACAGTGCATATTATTATTATGCATATTATTATCAGAGTTGTCTTTTTCTTTGCATTTTGACTGCTTGTGTTGTGGTTATTGCAAACATAATGCCTTGAATAAAGGTGTCAGTTTTTGTGCCAGTTAAAAGGGTAAAACCTATTCCTATATCCAGTAATATGTTAGAGCCTATGAGCAAATCGGCTCGAACAATCTCAACAGATATCGGGAGCCAGGCAGGGTTGAGCCTGGACATCTGTGGACATCTGTGAAAAAGAGCTTCATAGCTTCTAGGATTCCTCCAGTCTAAATAAAGATTCTGATTCTGATACTGCGTGGATGGTTGAACTCAACGAGTAAGCAGGTTGTCGTCGGGCTTGCAAGGCAACATTGTGGGCAGTAGAGCAGTGCAGCATAATCCACTGCTGTACTACCCTGTGCTCCACTATCTATGTTGCCCCGCCTCCACCAACCGCCATTGACGAGCACGGTGAAGTAAAATCAAACAACCCCCACGATTGGGACGGCATGGGGACGCCCTCAACCATCAGAGGATCACCGAAAAGGATGTGCAAGGACACGTACAATACTTTAGAAGTTTACGTTTTGTTATTTAACCACTTGAATAAATATTGATCTTCGCAAAATCATGGTGACACTGCCTTAAAAGCAAGGGGAGTGGTATTGACAAATGTGTTCAGTGTTCGTAGGCTTTGTGTTTGTGAACCAATGCCAAATGCAAGCAGCACATGTGTGTCGAATTGCAACGTTCCCCATCTTTTTACAAATGGGACTCACCTAAGCTCCACTTCTTTGAACACCTGCAGAAGGTCTGGAATGATCCTTGGGAGGTATTTCAAAGCTCCACCCTGAAAGACACGAGCATGAATGGGCAAAGCTCTTAAAATTGGCAATTGGGAAAAAAAAAGAGCCAACAACAAACAAAATACACTGTACAAGTAACCATCATACGTCATTAGTTGTTAGCGAGCAGATTTATATTTGTCCATAATAGTGGATTTGGGTTAGATCGCGTAAATATGTGTCGTTAAACCCGCCACCACCCGACACAGCCAACTAGTAAGGGTTGTCACGTAAACAGAACGTGCCAATTCGTCACTAGTACAGCACACCGGTGTGTTGGAGAGCCAAGCCACAAAATATTTGGTTCGTTGCCATGCTTCATTTTATTTGTTTTTGTCACTTTGATGACCCAGGTCACTCTTGCGAAATGAAGACTAATCCTGGTCTCTCGAGTGCTCATCTGGTTACACGAAATAAACTCTAAAACCTGAATAATGTTATAAATGGAACGTTTGTTCCATACCTATAAGTACACGTGTGTTTTTATACAGTTACGCAAGCACTCCCAAGGAATGTCAGAAGAAATTGCATACTACGGCGACTCATCCTTCATCATTCTGGCACAACGTTTCTTTTTTAACTAGAAGAAATTGTGATGTTCGATTAATGAAGTCACATGTTACCAAAGTGAGCGTCGACATCTTGAAAGTGCGGTCAAATGCATAATTCCTCAACGTATGTTACGTATTTAAGCAATTAATAACCGTGAGATACTTCGGTGAAACAAATTATCGTGAAATTGGGAGAGAACAACAAATATGCAATGTGTCCACAAGTGAAAATGTGGACTGCTTTTGTAACCTCGCTGCTCAGACGTGTTAAGGCACTGCAGGGCATTAACATAAGACAGCAGTTTTAAGTGTGAATGTGTCTTGCGGTGATACCTGAGCAAGTAGCAATTTGTCCGTCGAAGCATTTCTCAACATGTCATTGAGGGAAATGAAAACCTGCATAATTGACTTCTCAAACGCCTCCTTTCCTTTGCCTTCATAAAGCCTGCATTGAACAAATACAACGAGGAAACAAAAAATAGGAGCAATCAATTCAATTCTAATACACTTAACCACACGAGCTACAGTGGAGGAAAAAAAGCGTTTGATCCCCTGCTGATTTTGTACGTTTGCCTACTGACGAAGAAATGATCAGTCTATAGTTTTAATGGTAGGTTTATTTGAACAGTGAAGAGACAGAATAATAACAACAAAAAAATCCAGAAAAACGCATGTTGAAAATGTTATAAATTGATTTGCATTTTAACGAGGGAAATAAGTATTTGACCCCCTCTCAATCAGAAAGATTTCTGGCTCCCAGGTGTCTTTTATACAGGTAACGAGCTGAGATTAGGAGCACACTCTTAAAGGGAGTGCTCCTAATCTCAGCTTGTTACCTATATAAAAAACACCTGTCCACAGAAGCAATCAATCAATCAGATTCCAAACTCTCCACCATGGCCAAGAGCAAAGAGCTCTCCCAGGAGGTCAGGGACAAGATTGTAGACCTACACAAGGCTGGAATGGGCTACAAGACCATTGCCAAGCAGTTTGGTGAGAAGGTGACAATTAATTTTGATTTAAAGCTTTCGTGACTGCAGTAATTCATATTCTTAGTTTTTTCGGTAAAGTCACGTTGAAGAGAAACAACAAAATATATATAAAACAATAAAAAATTCTCACGACGTTTCGACCATAACTCAAACGGTCATCATCAGATGATTTTTTATTGTTTTATATATATTTTGTTATTTTGTTGTTTCTCTTCAACGTGACTTTACCGAAAAAACTAAGAATAAGGTGACAATAGTTCGTGCGATAATTCGCAAATGGAAGAAACACAAAAGAACTGTCAATCTCCCTCGGCCTGGGGCTCCATGCAAGATCTCACCTCGTGGCGTTGCAATGATCATGAGAACGGTGAGGAATCAGCCCAGAACTACACGGAAGGATCTTGTCAATGATCTCAAGGCAGCTGGGACCATAGTCACCAAGAAAACAATTGGTAACACACTACGCCGTGAAGGACTGAAATCCTGCAGCGCCCGCAAGGTCCCCCTGCTCAAGAAAGCACATATACATGCCCGTCTGAAGTTTGCCAATGAACATCTGAATGATTCAGAGGACAACTGGGCGAAAGTGTTGTGGTCAGATGAGACCAAAATGGAGCTCTTTGGCATCAACTCAACTCGCCGTGTTTGGAGGAGGAATGCTGCCTATGACCCCAAGAACACCATCCCCACCGTCAAACATGGAGGTGGAAACATTATGCTTTGGGGGTGTTTTTCTGCTAAGGGGACAGGAAAACTTCACCGCATCAAAGGGACGATGGACAGGGCCATGTACCGTCAACTCTTGGGTGAGAACCTCCTTCCCTCAGCCAGGGCATTGAAAATGGGTCGTGGATGGGTATTCCAGCATGACAATGACCCAAAACACACGGCCAAGGCAACAAAGGAGTGGCTCAAGAAGAAGCACATTAAGGTCCTGGAGTGGTCTAGCCAGTCTCCAGACCTTAATCCCATAGAAAATCTGTGGAGGGAGCTGAAGGTTCGAGTTGCCAAACGTCAGCCTCGAAACATGAATGACTTGGAGAAGATCTGCAAAGAGGAGTGGGACAAAATCCCTCCTGAGATGTGTGCAAACCTGGTGGCCAACTACAAGAAACGTCTGACCTCTGTGATTGCCAACAAGGGTTTTGCCACCAAGTACTAAGTCATGTTTTGCAGAGGGGTCAAATTCTTATTTCTCTCATTAAAATGAAATCAATTTTATAACATTATTGACATGCGTTTTTCTGGATTTTGTTGTTGTTATTCTGTCTCTCACTGTTCAAATAAACCTACCTTTAAAATTATAGACTGATAATTTCTTTGTCAGTGGGCAAACGTACAAAATCAGCAGGGGATCAAATACTTGTTTCCCTCATTCTATATTGTGCAATGCATGGAAACTCAGGGTATACCTTTGGCTTGTTTCAGAATGAGATTGACCTGATTTTAGCAGAGAGAAAAATCGGTGTTGCTTCCGTGAATGGGTACAATTGAAGTTCGGAACGTGACTCGATAAACAGAAAGTTGGATTTTTTATATTCATGATGAGAATTTGCAAAATGATGCATGAATTGCAATTATGTTCACGAATTGATTCTTATTAACTGTTTGCTTACGATTAGTATCAACAGCATCAAGGTACAATTAATGATTTCGTGTTTTGATGTCTGTATCGTATCACAATCAAACAATTGTGCCAGAGCAAGAGATACGAGAATCGATTCTTATCCGGCATTGTGGAGCTGTGGTGCACGGTTTTAAAACCGGCACTTTGGGGGTAAGGAGATTGGTGGTGAAACTCATAAACCTCCTGCGTTACGAGGTGGCCAGGAGACATTCATATATACAGATGATTTGTCAACCCATCTGTGTGGAGCTTTGTACATTTTCCCCTCATATCCGAAGCGGGATTTATCCAGGTACCCCAGGTTACTCCCACATAAAGCAAAATATAAATATGCTTAAAACGATCCTGGCCAAAACATCCCAATGCCGGATCCTCTTGAATGCAAATCTCAAGACTTGGTGGGAACATGAGGTGTTGTAGCCTTTGGCTGTGAAGCAAGCAGGATATCGCAGCACAAATATGGATTCCTGAATGTGTAACTGTGCAGAGCTTTGAGTGTTATCCCCTTATTGTGTGGGGTTTTCCTTGAGTACTCTAGCTTCCTCCCACGTAAAGTCAAATGATATTTTTTGGAATTGGCCAAACATCCGAATGCAGGACCCTGCTGAAAAAAAGTATTGAGACTGTGTTGCCTTTCTAACGAAGCAAATGTCTTTTTTTATGATCATTCTATATTACTGAACAAAAAAAGTTTACAGGTTAGTGAAAAGTGGGAGCAGTTTCTGTTTGATTTGTTATGGTTACACAGCTGCCCTACCAACTTACTGCCCAAAGAGAATCCTGGACGCAACAATGAACTTGAAAATATACTCCAAGGCCTTCATGATTTTCAAAAGGTGGTCTCCGTTTTCCATGGTGGTACCGTCAGTGATCTTTCTCTTCAAGACTTTTGTGAGCTTCCTGCAAGAGCCAAATTAACACGTGCAAATGTTAATTTTGGTATCGCTACCGTGGTGTTAAGAGAGCGAAATCCACTTTGAAACAGGCTCACCGTATTGTATTCTCTCCCAGAGTGCACATCAGCAGCTCAGTCATATATTAACCCAGTCATATGAATCCCTCTTTGCCGTTTAGACCATTAACCTCAAGTAAAATTTCTGATAGAGTTTGTATGCATTCTAAGTAATGAATATGTCCATGCAGAATGCATGTGGCGTAAGCATTTTAACAAATGCATTTAGCAAATATTATACACCTAGTAGGTAATGCTATTTTTCACCATTATACTCACACAAGTAAAAGAATATAAACTAAATGGTAGAAATGCGTTAAAGGAAAGCTACAGCCCTGCAATTGCTTGATCATGTCACCGCTGGCAAAAAGGGCCTCCATTAGATGGAGCTGTAGAGAGCATCCCCAAGGGCGTAGTTGGCCCACTCGTACACACTGGCCCGACGTCTTGGCAGGGGTGAGAGTACCCACACTTTAACCCACTGCACACGGCCTGCCGAGCGATGAACCGAGGTGAAGGCATATATTCTGATGGGACGTAACCAGAGTACAGGAACATTGTGGCATATGCCAGTGGCATGCTGCTGCTGCTTGTGTAATGATGAGTTACAGCGGAGTTGCAATCCAGAGGTCACTGGTTCGTTCTTCAGGCACGGCAGCAGTGGAAACAATGGGCAGGTTTCTTAATCTCCCTTGACTCTGACCACCAGAAATGTGTAAATGGGTATATTATAGGCAGGCTGAGAAGAACGGACATTGCACACGCGTAGACGTCAGAGAGCACCGTGTTGGAAAGTTTAGGACACACTGACAACAACGTTCAACAATGAACATAAAGGAGCCTTCGCAGAAACTCCCTGAGATATCTAAAAGAAGACCATCGCACTATTCAGCATTTGCTTTAGGGCATGTTGGAAGATGTCAATTCCATCAGGACGTCAATAATTGGCAAACGAGTAGTTTTAGGATTTAAAATATAATCTTCATGTGATCACAGTTTAAGGTATCTGCAACGGTATCTTAAAATATTAAACTCAGCTGCTGTTGTGCAACATTAATCATGAATCTCGACAACTCTGGGAGGTTTGAGGATTTCATGAGCAGATGGAACTCCTTGAGAAGTTTAAAACAAAGTTGATGCTATGGACTTTATGCTGTATGGCTGGAACCGAGAGTATCAGGCTCGTATTTGAAATAGATCAGACAGCTTTGACATTAAACTTTCAGAAACCTCCTGCCATGTGCCACGTACAGTCTTTGGATGTCACACTGGCTTGGTTTGTCAGCGAGGAATATGAAGGGATTTTTTTTCCTTTCGGGATTAAGATGCCTCTACATTCTATGCAAAACACCTTTTGTAGCCAGGTTCATTGTATTTTGGCACATGACAGTTTCATAACAAACCTGACACAGTGAATAAATGATAATAGAGTGCGCTGAGGATAATGTTTCTCGGAAGGTAAGCTGAAATGAAGCGGCACGAACACGTCTTCGCTTAGGAGATGATGATGTCGCATAGCGAAGGGACATTTACTTCTCTGCAGATGAAAGTGTCTACCCATATAATCACACTGCCTTCACGAAAGAACAACGTGAACGCGTATATTCGGATCCGCTGTAACATAATATCATGGTCTGCACAGCATTAATACAAAAAATGTAAAACAAACATCCATATATACTTTTTTTTACATGACAAAGCTCAAAGTATAGCATTGATGCTTTTAAAACGAGTAATTTGTGCATGTCTAAAATAATGCAAAACTGATCAAACGGGCAATTTAAATAAACTTGCATATGACAACATAACCTTTCGGCAAAATGTGTTTTCAGTCTCAATGCATACGCCAGTCTTTTGGCACGATATACATCAAACGCAAAAACAAACTTCATTACGTTTCTGTCTCAGCTGAACCAAACATTGACCATTGGATGCAACCACTCTACCACGATTCATCGTGTGGGTGGAGAGATGGTGCAGTGGTTATCGCACTGCGCTTTGACCCCAACGACCCGCGTTTGATTCTCGGCTAAACTAACTGGCACAGAGAGACCTTCATCCAGAAGTGGATTGACAAAAGGCAAAACGGTGTTATTATTATTGTTATAATTATAATCACCCATTATAATATTCATACAATCAAAGGGAATTCTACCAAGTCATAAAGGATCGCGTAGTGGACTTCACAATTCAGACAGCGCTCTTTCAATCTCACAGCGCGGCAGTTAAAACAATGCTGCATCCAGCAGGAAGATCGGTATACCACAGTTCGTTGATTGGCAGGTTGCGTGTGATGGGTGTAAAGTGTCTGTAACACTGTCTCTCCACGATGTTTGACCATATCATGCATCGAACATCAATGCACTCTGACAGGAAGCATATCACTGCGTTTTGCAGTACCTTAAGTGCACTTTTAAGTGTATTTGCGGGCATCAGTGCCAAACACCCATATGTAACATGTCCCGGCTATCACTGTGTTCGAGCAGAATATCCATAAAGTTCAAGAGTATGTAAGTTTACATTTAAAAGATAATCACAGCAGAAAAAATGTGTTCATTCAGTGTTTTAACACTTCACATATTGGGAATTATATTTGCCTAAATGTTTAAAAAGTATTAGGGTACCATCAGCTTATACTTCTTAGCCCATGGCATTTTAAATCATGACATACACACTAGCCATGTAATGATCCACCCCAACCCAGTGATTAGATGGATTAGCCTAAAGGTACCATTTGCATGCACGCAGAGTTGAATATAATTTGCATATAATTTGCATAAATATAAAATAAGTTCTAAGCCACGCAGTTGGATGCATCTATTGTGAATGTAAGACTCGATTGTAATTGACAAATTCATAAAAAAAAAAATTGCATGCCTAATTATAAAAGTCGACTTTGAAAATTAACTCTGAGTGCTTCCCACATTTCAGGAACACTTTATTGGAAAGATAAATGGCTTCAAAGTGTCTCCACGGACTTGCACTTGGCTTCATTTCTTAACATTAGCTGGGAGCTGTCCAGGGCTGAGCTCCAGAAATACTCCCCCTCCCCCCAATGTGCAGGCGGGGGAGTATCGCAAGGACCCAAAATATTCCACGAGAAATTAAGCCCTCGATGTGCATCAGGCAAAGTACTGAGGTGTGCTTTTGCTTTCATTGCTTTACGAGCAACACGTACGGGGTTCCATCGTTGATGCAAGACCACATGGACTACTCACACACACACACTAAAGAACATGTATATGTCAACACTTCTGTAATTCTTGTCCAGAAACAAAACTGCGGTAAATAAAAGTCAGTGCACAATCACAAAATAACAAAAACTCAACACATCTGTCAATAACATTAACATTGCCTTTAATATGTACAATGGGTGATCTTTCTGGAGATAGCCCTTCTTCATAAACCGCAGTGAGAAATCTCACTGCTATTTACCCACTGCCCTAAGGGAAAAAAATATATATAAAAGATGAGGTTTTGTACAATTCCCAAAACTTTTGCTTTCAAACATATATATCAACAAATATTTCCCCCCCCCCCCTTTGAGGGTAGCATTATATTGATGAATTGTGTTGCGTTTTTTGGCAATTGTTGGAAGCAAATTCGGCTCCATCTGTTCAATGCTTTGAGTAGTCGGGGAAGTACACACTTACTCGTACGCCAGGGTAGCACTGAAGTGTTGTCTGATGTACGCCTCCAGCACTGGGTTAAAGTGCTGGAACTTCCTGTCTGCGATGAGCCCAATAATGAAAATCTGCAAGGAGAAATTACAACAGTTAAAAGGAAGCGCTGGTACACACCGATTATAAGGCTGTCACTGTGAAGCTGTGCTGGTGGGTGCTGATTTATTTCCAAATTATCTCGCATCTAAATGGTTTGCATAATACATGAGCAATATCACTGTTACGTTTCGGTATTTTATCGGCAAATACATACATTAAATGAATTTGCGCTAGATTGCAAAAGGCTATTTGTAAGGGGGAAACACTAATTAAATAAATAGCCTACAGGTTCAATGGCCTACGCTATCACTTGCACACTCGCTTTAATGCTTAATCTCGCGTATTGTTTAATTGCAGGCCGTTGGCATATTGATGTTTGCTTTTATTGAAAATCAACACCTTCTAACAATATTAAAGCCAGATATTTTACAAACACAAGAGGTCTTCCAGCAATCACATTTTTTTCTGTCACGTGTGTTTTTAAGGAATATTTTCTATTTCGAACACATGGTTGCTTGCCCAGATGTCAGATTAATTGTGCGGTGAGAAACAAAGAGTTATCACGATTTTAAATAAGAGGGCAAAAAACGTATATGTCACAAACAATAATTTCCCTCATTGTTTAACAGAAGTGACTGCGTTAAGGACAGACTGTAACGCCAAGTATTCTAAATGTTATCGGGCACTGACATAAACGCAACTGACATGAGCTACTCGTACTTTGTAAACATCGAATTCTTACCTTAAAAGATTACATATCCAGCTAGGGATATTCAACCGTGGGTCAAATTATAATCATGGCCATGAATACTGCACAAACGTAAATAGAAAGCACACACCTATACATCCAATGCCAGACAATTACCAATTAACGCCGTCTGTGAAATATTAAAACACTTGAGGTGGATTATAAAATGTTTCACTTGTTAATCGTAGGAAAGGGTAATGAGGCTCCATCCGTTGAAATGCTAAACTGCCGTTAAGAATGTGTTCCCTGTAGGAAAGCACGAGTAATAGTCGCATTGCGCAGCTGCAGGGCAGCCATGTATACATAAACCCAGGCGACAGTTGTTAGTGAATGCAGTTGGGTTTTGATCTTCGCTGCTAGCATGACCACAGTGAAGGATTTGTGGTAAACAAAGCGATTTATCAAGCGGCGTTGAGGCAAAAAAATGGACCAGATGGACCGTTCCTAACAAGAGCCGAGCCACTGCAGAGGTGAAACAAGGTTGCAGGAGAAAAATCATTGCGCCAGGTGAAAAAATATATATGCTACCACATTGGGAAGAGACTAATGAATCACCTCTGGGAGCACAGAAGCAGTGATAGCTAAAAACGTATTTGCATTTGCTAATTTAAATTAAGCAGTGTAGAATGTTTAGTTATGCACTATAATGGTGTTAAAGCCTTTATTTAACCAACATTGCATCTTTTGCAAGGGAAAGCTGGGTTAAAACCCAGTGCTAAACAAATGTATAGCATTTGAGCACAGGACTGCAAGACTGACAGGTATTTATTTTTAAGAAGCTACAAGAATATGATTAAAATGGGATTACTGTTATTGCACAAGTTTATATTTTTTTAAACTATCCGATCGTAAAATATCACTATTATCCCTTCAGATGTTTTTCTCCAAACAGCACGTGGCAGGCTTGAACAACTATTCCAATATAACCAAGATATGATATATATGGTAATAGTCTACTTGCAGATAGTGCATTGACGTGATATCAGTTCCCCCGTGAATGCGATCTGTTATTATTTAAATTCTCACCACTCTGAGCAGCGGGCACTACATCCAATGTTTCCGTTTTTTTTATATTGCCAGCGGTAATCTATATATATGGAAAATTTGTGAATGTGTCTGTTCGAAATGTTTAGCATACTTCCCAACATGCAATAAACTTGAAATTTGGCATGTGGGTAGCTTCCAGACTATACACAATGCAAAAAGTATAAAAATAGCCTTTTGAATTTTGGGGGCGGGGGGGGGTAGGCAATAATGGATATATTTTGCACGGCAAGTGAGCGGTGACGTCACATCTGTGATGTCACCCGCATGCGGCAGCGTCACGCAGCGTGCCTGCTGACGTCACGCATCCCCCCCCCCCAACCTCCGCGTAGGCCGTGTATTAATCCAAGACAAGAATCCAAGTCTCGGGCGAAGCCGGGTAGTAAAGCTAGTTGCTTATATGAATTGGAGAAGGAAAAAGGCTGTTAGAAGACCAACAATTATAAATGTTACAGTGGTGTGGCTTATATTCAGTACAGTGAGATATTCTATGTATATAAAAGTCAAATATTGTGTGTGGGTTTGTGTCGGGGTTTGTGTGTGGGTTTGTGTGTGTTCGCGCACTTGGCCCTCCAACGGTGGGGTTTACGTAAAATAAAAATAGCCAGGTACCACGCCGTAAGCCTTGCCGTGAGCAAGCGCTATTCCTTTTTCACATCCGTCAACTTTTAATTAGTTTAATTAGCGATTTTGTGCGATTTTTGTGTGCTATCTCTTTATTTATTTATGACGCGTGCACGACCATACCAACTCACGCGCCTTTGGTGGGGGGGGACGGCCCATGCCAAGTCACACGCCTTCGGTGGGAGGAGGACATTTTCTTTCGTGTTAAAAATGCTGTAAAAATACACTAAACGCTGAGCTTAAATCTTCACTGTGTGATGTCCCCCCCCACCCCCGATGTGTTCAGTTACTACTATATACAGTCGCTAGATGCTACCACTATAGGCCGTAGATATTACTGCAGAGCGGCCGGGGAGATCTTGGCTGGGGGGGTCAGGGGTAGCAGCCCAGCCCCAGCCTGCCAAGGTGCCACCTCGGCCGGCTGGACAATCTAGGCGAGGCCGGAGGCTTTGCACGGGACTAGGCCTCACCACGCCACTGTCAGGTGAGTACTTTGTGCTATAGAGTCGATAAATACTGATATAGAGTCAGCATGTACTACTGTAGTGATAGCAGGTACCACCACAGTCGGTATGCACTGCTGTAATCATAGCAGGTGCCACCACAGTCGGTATGCACTGCTGTAATCAAAGCAGTTACCACCACAGTATGCATTGCTGCAGTGAAAGGAGGTACCACCACAGTATGCACTGCTGTAATCATAGCAGGTACCACCACAGTATGCACTGCTGTAATCATAGCAGGTACCACCACAGTCAGTACGCACTGCTGTTAGATTATTAAGAGTAGTTTTGAAATATTTTTAAGACCCGGGCACCGCGGGGTACTTCCTGCTAGTGTCTTATAAAAAGGGAAATATCGATCCTGAGTTTTACAAGGGTGGTAATTTCAATGACTAGCAGGTACCACCACAGTATGCACTGCTGTAATCATAGCAGGTACCACCACAGTCAGTACGCACTGCTGTTAGATTATTAAGAGTAGTTTTGAAATATTTTTAAGACCCGGGCACCGCGGGGTACTTCCCGCTAGTGTCTTATAAAAAGGGAAATATCGATCCTGAGTTTTACAAGGGTGGTAATTTCAATGACTAGAATTTCTTACCAGTGCATCGAACACAAGCTCATCGTACTTGTCACTTTCAGAATTCTCCATGGTGATGTTGAACAGGGCATCAAGAGTGTCTTGCAAAAACTGTAAAAAAAACACTGTATATGTTGAAAAACAATGCATTTGCATTTACATTACATGCTTCTGTGATGTGACCGTTGGCATACTGGATGTAAAATACATCAGTGGCAAGCAATATCTAAACCAGTCCTGTGCACCCCAATCCACCAACCAGCATTGAGCAGTGTGGTGAATTATGGACACAATAACAGTCATGATTTACATAGCATGTGGAGTCCTTCATGCAGCAGTCCATTAACACAGCACTAAATGAAAGTTAACAATCGACATTACATATGCATTAAACCATTGGGCGGGAATTAATCCGATGCAGTTACATACCAAATCTATATCACCTGATACAAGAAACGTCAATTACGTTACCTTTACAACTTCTTCTCCATCCACATTCATGAGCTTCTTCAGATTCTTCTCCAGCTCGGCAGGGTTCGAGCGCCATTTCAATAGGCCCAAGAGATCAACTACAGCATCGTCGGTCAACACAAAGTGGAGGAGACGAGGAGACACTCAGAACAGTCCATTTGATTATTTATTGTTCCTGTAAGCGAACCGGCCAGGTGGCTCAGCGGTAGAGTGAGCGGCTCACAATCAAAAGGTTGCGAGTTCAATTCCTCGATGGCGATTAGACTCAGCCCATCATCATTGTTCACATTAATAAAATATGTACTACTTTGTGGGGAAATCACTAGTGGTTGTCCTATCAAAAGACTTTCTCCCACCACAGGAATGTGGAATTTAGACCACGTTCAAGGATGTAAATCGCATATGAGTACTGCCTCAATGCTCATTTGAGCAAGAAATCACTTTTGAAATCACATCCCCATGCAATTTATTCAATAACTCTGGCAAGATTTCAAAAACATATTTTTCCCACGCAGCTTTGTTCGTGGCTGTGCTGCATTCAGTCCTCAAGAAGCTCCCAGCACGTGCAGAGAAACGTCACGACGTCGTGCCGACAAAACGCACGGCACGAACCAAGAACAAACACAGCAGAGTTCACATTGTTGCAGACGCAACATGTACCTCGTGGCTCACTTTGGTTACAGGGCTCAGGTTTGCTCAGTAGTACACTGGCACAAACAAGAGAATGCAGGTGGCAGAGCAATCAGATTTAGCGCTGCAAAGCTGTGCCCACCATCTGTGACGGAAGCACCCTCCCCTGTTTGTTTATTAAGCAAGATTAAATTAAGTGTATTTATATAACTTAGCCTTTTCACTTGAAGTGAATATGCCGCATTTCTTTTATTATTTCTTCTCAGTTATTTGACACACTACCATGTATAATCTGATATGTACGAATGTATGTATCATGATCAGCTGTTGCTTTTTTCTATTTTTAAAGTTGCCATATTTATAGCCAAATTATGAATGCTTTAAAAGAGAATTTGCCATTTTTAACGAGAAGTTATCAACGTTATGTTCCATATTTCATTTAAAGCTCCTTTGCCCGCCATTGCTGCTATATTTTTCGCGTTACGTTTCTGCGCGGCTGTAGCGCATGAGTCGCTTTGCATTAAACTAAAAAAACATTCAATCGTAGGGCCATTTGGTTTTCGCACGCCGAGTTTGGCCCTCACAGTTCTGGGTGAGCTTGGTGGAGCAAACGAGCGTGGAGATGAGAAAGCGGTCCTTGCTGCTGAGCGACAGGCCGGAGCCAGAGCAGGCCTTGCTGGCAACGTTGTCCTCCACCTGCATGCGCGTGGAATGCAGCTCCTGGTATGCGCTCACCTCCTCCATTTTCCGGCTGTCACCCTGCATCCACAGCCCCCCAGGGGGCACAAATACAGCGGCAAATTGCAGATGTGACGTCTGCCCGGTCTCTGGGCAACTCCCTCCATCCATTTCCATCCTGATCCTGAGCTTTATTCTTCATTTCACTGCGTGACCCTCTCTATCCCCCCCTCCCCTCAACTACCTTCATGTGATCAAGCAGCATCAATATATTCCTTCCAGAACTTCCTTAATCAAGCTTGCACCTCTGACCATGTGCCCAATCAGCAATGTGTGTCCAATGGACACCTTTTCTGGAGTGTTCAATCAGACTTCTCCTTTTTGCCCTTACTCTTTCTCTCCATCCAAATGGTTTTCTCCACTCGACGCCATTCCCACGTCTCAAGATTTTCCAGTGTATGTGGGAAATGAAATAGATCTGCTTGAAAGCAAAAGTGGTGCACAAGCACAAATAGTAAAAACTCAAGACATTCGTCAATAAGACTGCTGAATCAGCACCTATTATATTTGTTTCCTTTTAAGGCAGTGTAATTGACAAAAGTGCTGAGTTATTTTGTTATCTGCGCTTACAAGCATGGTGGCTGGGACACTGGCCCTGATCATTTCGAGTTAATAAGCGCAATTGTTCACAAAAATAAATGGGGTGTCGTTGCCGCAGAGTGGTTTACTAGCTGCACTACAAACCCTGGTGACCTGCATTTTTGATTCGCACGCTCGGCTAACATTAGTGGCGAGCAATATCTGAACTGGCCCTTGGCACCTCTCCTTCACCAACCCGCCTTGACCGGCGTGGGGAAGTATGATGAAAATATTCCGAACAACCAATATGGTGTGGGGATGTATGTGGAACTTCTTTCACACCGTACATAGCCAACCATGCTAATCTGAGGTGTCAATTGACAAAGGACTGATAATAATACGTATTATTAGAATAGTAACGATTTAACTATATATATGTATGACTCAATTATTATTTATATTCATGATTATGTTTTCAGACCCTGCTTCAATGCAATCGCCATTGTCCGCACTGCCGCTGTTTTATTCAGCACACTATGTTCACGTATTCTGAATGCATAAACGATTGCATGGATGTACAAGTGTACCAAGCTTGACGTGACATGAAACGGCTCCTGTTAAAATTCCAGCTCACCGGCTTGGCTCGGCAATGCCTTACTGGGTATATGAACACACACAATGCTACACTATACTCACAGAGTGTGTCCACTCATGTAGGGGCATTGTGCACATGTAACCCACAGTTTACCTTGTAGATGAAGAGATCGTGATTTCCATCTTGAAGTGTAGTCCCATCAGGCCGCATCAGTTTGACAAAACACATGGCGAAGTTTTTTTCACTTCTGTCTTTTGCTGTTGGTGTACGAGGACAGACAGAGATGCAATGCCCGGCAGATGTGAAACGTTTAATATAGCGACGTTAAACTCCAATTCCCCGAGTCGTGTGTTAGACAGCACTTACAGTCTTGGGACGAGCGGTGACGGAATGTGAATCTCAAGTGGCTTCTGTAAACGTCTTCGATAGGAACAGCGACCTGGCGAACAATCGGCAACAATTTTCATTTTACTCTCAATCTGCGTCGTGATTATTTATGTTTGGAATAGATCATGTCAAATCAGATAATTCGCAAATTCGGTGTTTGTGATATTCTCATAGCGCAAGGCTCTCCCCGAATGCACTTTGTCTAATAGACATAGTCTGCAGTATATTCACAACAGGCAGCGATGTTTCAATGTGGTTTCGCCCAATATGGATAATTCTTATGTTATTTGATGTTCATATAGAGTGCTTTAGCGCAAGGCGCTTTACACATCTTTAAAGCGGTAACCAAAATCGAGTGATGGAGATTGCAAGGGCCGTGGATTGAGTGACCATAACAGAGGTCACGTGGGGGTCACGAAAGGGCTACAGGGGAGGGACAGAAAGGAGTGGAGGGATGAGGAAAAGAAAGAGGAAGGGAATGGAAAGTTTTCAGAGTTGGACCGTGACACATGATGATCAACGTCCAGGCGGCGCGTAATTGTTTGGTTCATACAAATGCAGCGTTAACCATGCACGTATGCGTGTACGTTGAACTTCTTTCACGCCGTATATAGCACCGCGGCAGCTGCTGGGCTCAAAGCGGAAAACTCGGCAACAAGCGGCAAAGCGCACTGCCGCTCGGCCACATCACCGACCGTTGTGATTTTAGAAGTGGATTGTAATAACGATAGAAACATTAAACGTGCAAATGTTATGCACTTGCAACTTTTTTTTTTTACCCACGGCACACCACGGGATGTAATGCATGGAAAAGGAAAGAGAAAAGGGAAATGCGAAAAGGGAAGAGAGAATGGGAAATATGAGCAAATTGATGGAAAAAGAATGGAACAACGTGGGAAGCACATGGTTAGCATGAGGATAGGGAGGTAGAGGCTACAAGAGGGCCTCCACGCTGCATGGAGGAGCGTCTGTTTTCACAGGAGGCAGGGATAAGGGAGGAATTCAGAGTGGGGGTGACCACACAGAAGTCACGTGATTAATGGGAGGCTTGAGCTGATTTAGATATATACAGAAAACACTCATTCTTCCTACCTTGACAGTCTCAAACCACTTGGGTTGCTTCACTTGGTAATATACAATTGACTTGTATTCTGTAATGGGCTGATCACCAGCACCAATCCAAATAACGTTCTAAATATGAGAATACATTAAAAAAATGCAAATATTTACATTAATTACCTTTGAAAGCAAATGTGGAAATATTCAAAACGTAGCTTTCTGCTTATTGATGAGCAAAAAACTAATGAATTACAGCATAATAATGTACCACTGTATACTGTAGGTAACAAAAATATAAGGTATGAAAACAACTATAAAGAGCACAAGTTGCAGTTTCAGCTGTCAGTCGGTCACATTTACTCAAAGTTATTTGATGGTGGCCCGAGACCACAATGTACTTATTCAGGAGATGCTGATGGTTATTCCGAAATGCATAAAGGCTGGGCGCTTTTCGTGCATGGTTTGATATTTTTGTTTTCAAGTTGTTACGTATAACTTAGGTTTGTTTATCTTCATATTCGGTTTCACGAACCACGAACAAACATCTTCCACGGCCGGTCTCTGACGCATGGGGAGTACATCGATCGGTCCGTGAGTTTTCCAAAAGGAATCTTTGTCTCACGGTATGAGACGAATTGGAATAAATCGGCCAACACAAGACCAATACACACGAGCACACTGTTCTGATACAAGCAACACATCATTAGATTATATTTGTGGGGGGGGGGAGGCAAAGGACAACTTTTGATACAAGCACACTACTTTGTGTATATGCACAGATGTACTTGCTCCCAAGCAGGGTCGGATTAAGATTTTGTAAGCAACTGGCCTAAAGGTACTGTGAGGCCCCCCAGTAATATTTTCAAAAGGAAATCAAAGTTAAAGAAATATAAAATGTATTTTTGCAAGGCTGACAACAAATAAAATTCAGCATTCACAAATGAAATAACTTTTCACTTCATCTCTGGAGGCCCTCCAGCGGGCAGAGGCCCCTGGGCTACAGCCCCGAAGGCCCGTGCCTTAATCCGTCCCTGCTCCCAAGGGATGTGCTTATAATATCCAAATTCTGCTGTGTGTATATATATACAGAGTGCTTCAAAAACAAATGTTAACACTTCTGAGAATTTGCAACAATACCACAAGAAATCTGCCTCCGGGCTGCAGAAACCACCTGCAGAGGATTTCAGGCATGTGTTGACAATGATGGTGAACAAGTGGAGACTCCTTGACTTTTTGAAGCTATTAACATACATGTGTTATCATGTTACAGTGCATTATCCGTTCTTTTTCCATTAGAAACGAAAGTCCCATGTAAGTGTCAACATTTTTTTGAACCACTGTGGTGTGTGTATGTGCATATATATTTTAAAAAAACGAGGTGCACTTAGCAGAAAAAATAATCTGCATTTTATTAAAATGTAATAAAAAATTGCGGGCATGTTAACACTCACTTCCAGGATTTTTCCAGTGTCATCGCACACGACCATCGTAACCTCCACATTCTTCTGTGTGGTTTTGCTGGAGCCCTTGTCAAACTCTCCCTGAACGAGCGTGATGTACACGTCATTCCTCACATCGCCTGGAGGTAAATAGCAAGGATGGGCACAGGAACACTCGTTTGCTTTGTCATTTTAAAAACAGTAGCTCTGCAAATGGACCGGTGTTCAATATGTATGTAAAACGGCTGGGGGGTGGGGGGAATGGCATGGATGATACATTAATGGTTAGGGAAACCAGGAGCAAACAAAACAAATGAAGCAGGATAAGCACCCAGTGTAGATAAGAACATATTATCAACATCCACTCCACGGTGATGTAGTGTGTATTCATATTTGCATTACGTTCAGCACTGGATTATTAATGCCGTGTGCTTACAAGTCCTTGTCTACATCGTCTTAGCTGGGTGTATTGTAAAGAATTATACAATGGGAGAACAGCCAGAAAGTGATAAGACCTTGGTGCCGACATTAATTTTTGGTTGCAAAAGCGTTCTTACCATATCACCATAACACTGAAGGTATATTTGCCCAATATACTCTATTCTCTGAATGATTATAAGAAGCGCCAGGAAGGAAGACGCACCTATAACATGCGCTCTGTGTCACACATTTCAACCATAAAACACACCCCCAACTTTGATTAAAATTCATGGAGGGGGGGGGAGAGGGGATAAGGTGCATCTTATAATACGTACGTAGCATACGGTATTGTTTTAACATGAGGGAAACAAGAAGGACAATTAATAGACTATAATTAATCAGGTGGTCGTGCATGCCTGTAATCCAGCACTGTGGAAAGCAGCAAGGGTTGGTCATCACACAAGTGTCACGAAACTCCCTTCCCGTGCCCATCGAGGAACCATATCCTGGCTCGCCAGCAGATGGCAGTACTGCAGGCGGTCTAATCACCATCTATTGCCATCTGTATGAGGATAGAGTGTTGCACCCTCGCCAGTGTGAGTTTTCCTCCGGGTGCTCTGGTTTCCTGCCACTTGTATGACAAACACTCATCACTACATGGCTGAAAACATCTTAAAATAAAAACCCCAATGCAGGACCCTCCCGAAAAAAGGGTCCTACAACTCAGTGTGGCTCTCCTGGATACCTTTTTTAAATTATTTTATGCATTAAGAACGTGGGAGGTTTTTTTTTTTACTTCTGTCTACAAGTACTGCACAAAAGCCGAGCTGAAGACAAACCGGGCATGATGATCTCAGGAAATCCCATCTTGCGAGCGATGGCCGTGGAACGATCGATCAGGTGAGGAAAATCTTTCTTCACCTGTTTGATGTCCCCATTCAGCATCTTCATGGACACCCAGAGTCCTTGTTGGAAATTTTACACAATGTTACATTATTTACGCTTCATTGAAAACGTTTATAATTCACGTTGCTCTCACGTGACTCACCTCTCTCATAACTCGATAACTGTAAAAACATAAAATGCATTTTTAAACATGTTGCGGATGCAAGCACTGAAGGAGCAGCCCTCTGCAATTGCTTGCTCCCATCATGCTGCAGGCTCACAGCATGAGGAAGAGCTCTATAGAGCCATTCCCGAGGGTATTTGGCCTACTCTTCCATGCTGGCCAGCTATATTAGAAGACGTGGGAGCACCCACACTTTACCCCCGCCACACGTGACCTTCCAATACATATTCTCGTGCTGTTCCAGTGTTCATACTGCGAGGGGTACAGAGATGGGGGGGATTGGGATTTAAGAAACCTGCCCCATTGTTTCAACTGCCACGCCGGGAAATTGAATCTAATAGCTGACCTCTGGATTGCAAGTCCAGCGTGCTCATAGGCGGAGTTTGACTTATATATTTGGGGGTGGGGGCAGGGGTTTGCTTTGTCCCTCACATTAGGAATCGCGGGGTGCATATAATTAATTTGATTTGTATCTTAATAGTAAACTACTGAAAATAAATTAATAAAGATGCCCAGTTTGTGAGGGACATTGCCCTCCCGTGCCCCCCCCCCCTCCTGCAAACTCTGCCCACGAGAGTGCTAACTATTGACACCACAGCAGCATTCCCTTACATATGTTAAATATATAATGGCTGCAAAATGAAATAGCTTTGCTGTATAGCGGAGTAATCATAAATCAAACTTTAACAATCAAGTGCCATACTGTACAGAATGCATTACCGAGGCCTTTGGCGTTCACTTCTTTGCCAGAAATGGCCTTGTTTATGATGTTTTGAAGAAAGTCATTTTCTGCAGTCACCCTGGTTTAAATAAATAAAGAAAAACATCAAAATCACATAATACAACTTAAATACACACACGTCTCCGATTATGTAATAATAATTGACACTGTGGGGTAAAAGCCTCCCCCCATGTCATGATATGTGATTAATAATACAACAATGCACAAGTCTCTGTCAGTCCACAACTCTACACTGCGTTCCTCTTGGGGTTTGTTTGACCATAATGCACCGTGCTGGTCAGCGCGGGTTGATAAACGGAGAGCCCTGGACCGCTTCAGATATATCACTCGCTACTAACGTTAGCCGTGGCTGAGAATCCAACTCAGGTCGGCGGTGTTCATAGCGCAGTCTGCCAAACGACTGCGTCACCGTGCAACTGACATCACGAGAAGCACAGATTAGTCCGTGACAATAAATGTCACCTATATATAGATCTAAAGTAAAGCTCGTCTGTCTCATGCGGTTGGCTGAAGAGAGTGGAGTCGCACTGCCTGCAGTAACGGTTCTGCTCCTGCAATTTGCCCAGCGGGAGACCAAAGCAGGGAGTGCGTCCTCCAATTAAGCTTCATGCCAGGCAAATCACGAGCAACCTTTTCATCATACGTACTGGTGGAATGGAAAGAAGTGCTGCTTATCTTCATCGGTCTCAATGTTTCCCTTTACTATGTCTGTAATGTCCATCACTGCGTAACACAAACGAGAAAAAGAGCTATAACTGAGTAAACGTGCATATTAACTAGGGTTGCCAAGGTATTTTTTTATGGTACGATACAATACAATATTAAATGTAACGATATGATAAAATATTGATTTGAAGCTCTCGTGACTGCAAGAATCCAGTACTCTTTGGCTCTTTCGGTAAAGTCACGTAGGTAGAAAAATAAAATACATTTTTTGTTTTATTTTATTTTTCTCCCTACCTGACTTTACCGAAATAACCAAAGAGATATGATAAAATATAATAATTACAAGATCAGTGTCTGATAACTTATTTTCTATTAATTCCTTGCTTAAAACATACAGTATTCAACTCAATATAACCCACCAATAAGTCTTCTGATTGTAACTTTACAACCTGCACACTTATAATGTACATGCTCTGGTAAGCAGCATGCCATACATTTATCTAAAATATATTTAGAGAACACGCATTTAAAAAGTATCAGCTATTTTCTTGAAATGTATTATTGTATACTTTATTTTTGTTCCACGAATATTTTGTCAGGCAGATAAAAACATGTATCAACAGTAAACAGTGATAATCACAATATAACAACATTGCAAAATGGATATTCAGTATTCCATTATCGTGAAATTTTAATCGTACAATGTATTGCAGTATCTTCATACCGTGCGAACCATAATATGGGAATTTGAATAAAAATAAACATGTGAATTATGTCATTTAAAAATATATGAATTAAAAAAAAGTGTGCGTGTTATTTTTCTTGCCAGCGACTCCAAAAGGCCGTCGCAGTCCGATGGTACACTTTTTGTTGTTGTCCTTCAGATCCATGCAGCCGTTCCTCACGATCTGACAAACCAGGTACATCTTCTCGATTGCCAGGTCCTTGCCTCCAAGGTCCTGGGTGAGGTATACGTTTCACAGCCAAGATGTTAAATACGAAAAGTGTACGTTATGGATTTCTACATGACCTACGAGTAATGTGACCCGTATAACACAGGATAACAGGTATGGCTACTGATGACAATGTAATGATTCACAACTTCTTGAAAATGTTATTGTCTGTCAATTTCAGTCATGATTCGAGTTTATTGGTAATGTCTCTCTCATTTGTAATGTCTCATTTGTTCTGCCTCTGACATTTGAGCCTGCTGTGTAACTTTCACCATACATTTGTATTATGTCACATCGAACACATGTCACTTGTACCATCTTTGTCGCTTGTACTATCTTTCTTAACTATTCTCTGTCCCATTTATTCCAACAATTAGCCTCGTGACGAAGAAAACATCTCACATGTGGAAGTATGTTGAACTTCTTTCGCACTGTGCATAGCCAACCTGGGTGAAGGACAACAAACTAAATTTCAAAAATCAATTCCAAATCAATTAATGTTCAATCTAGATTTAAAAGTGCGCAGCTCCAGCGGCTTCCACTTTCATCGATTTTAAATGAAGCAAATGCGTACATGCACGTACAAAGGCACTTTCAATCGGTGAGTCTTTACGTGCCAGGCAACTGACAGGTCCAATGTGTTCGCCTCAGAATAGGCAGGACACCTTTCACATTTTGAGAACAGTGAATTGTCACGTGAGGACAAAGTGCTCAGGGTGGTGGTGGCACGCGCGCAGCGGTTAGCGCGCTACACTAAGAATCCAGTATTAGGTTCCTGGTAACGGCTTGCATAAAACAGATTTCTTTTTTTGTGTGTGTGTGTTCGATTTGTTTATTAGCACGGTTGGCTACGTGCGGCGAAAAAGAAGTTCAACATACATACGTACATACACACAGAGGCGGTCGCGATGAATGAAATGCAGCCAGTGTCGTTGTATCCGACACGTGCGTCATGGACCCGACCTACCGTGAACACAACCCGCGTGTTGTGCAGCAACTCCACTTCTTTTGGCAGGCCTTGTTTCCCCCACCGGACCATGTAATTCTCACTGAAGAATATTAACGTAGTCGTCAGGATTGATTTTTATTTCACAAAATAAAGTCATGGTAAAAGTAAATCTGCTCACGCAAAAATAAAAAAAACCTAAGCCGTTTTACTTTTTAAAAGAGATGCCTGTTGTTTGCATTTTCCTTTGTCACGAAGCATGAACGATCTCCTGATTTATTTGTTATTTCACTCTTTAAAAAACGTTTGCTCCCGGAGCTTTAGCATATTGGCATAAGTTAGTGTGAGATTACAAAGTATATTATGTCTACACTGGATAATTTGTGTTTGTAGCAATAGTAAAAAAAGGAGCATGCTTTATAAGCAGTACATTGTACCCCAAAATCTCTAAGTGCATGCTCTATAATATATAATCAAAGATTACGATTTTTTTTTAGTGAATACTAATGCTTAAAATAATATCAATTATAACTACAACTGTGCCCATATCCAAATCATTAATAACACTGTGTAACAATTTTTTGTTTGTTCCTGGGTAGTGTTAATTGCTTATGCCTCAAAAGTACATAAAATGGCTATTATTCCCCATTAACTTCGCTTTTGTGACCAGAACAGTGATATTTTGAAATGTACCTATTTTCAATGAGAAAACGGGTGAATTTGTGTCTTTTCGTTCACATGTCAGAAAAAACAACATATGAATCAAAATTGACAACCCCCACTAACCAGCGTGAAGTACGGTCAACCCATCTCCGTGACCAACACACCTAAACCATGGGCCCCAAACCTTCCGCAGCTATGACAGTGACTCACACTCAAATATCGTACTTGTACGACTTTCAAGTGTGCACTATGTTTTAAGATTCAACTACACTTCATTAATAAAAATCCTTTCAGTCTCATCAAATGTTGCTATCTTTTCGGCACCAATTTTTCACTGACCTCAGTTCAGAGAGGTACAGAACGGACAGTGCACTCCACTGCACAGCGCCTGTTGTCAAAGGAAAGGGGTGCGTACCTCAGAAATCGATTTTCTTTGGGATCGTACAGAGCCATTAACACCTCGGCCTCTTCCCTAATCCGGTAGACGAAGTTCTTCAGCACGACAAACAGGCTGTACGAGTGAGTGGCGGAGAAATGCGTCCACTTTGTCATCTCGCTGTTGTTCTTCTTAGACTGCAACAGAGAATTTAAAAAAATAATAAGGATTTGCATTTGATAGGCGCTTACTTTTAATGCCCCAGCATCTCAAATACCCTCACATCTGATTGAATCGCAACCATTCCTATGCTCAGCTGTAGTTTGTTTTCTCCCTTTTTAGCCTCACGGACCGGCTGTTGACAGCTCTCCTTCTGTGGCGGAAAGTGACGAAGCAACACCCTGCAATTGCCCAGTAGCCGGTCAGTAATGGGGCGATATGGACTATTGTTTATTCATATTAAGTCATTTGCAAAATAATATTCCAATTTCGACAAATTTGGAGCATGACACCGGCACAAACGGCCGACTGAATTTTTTTTTATACGTCTGTATATAACGACCACCGTGAAGCAGGCAATGATTATTTCATGTTTAAAATGCCCTCAGTATTAACGAGTGTGGCCTGTGGCTTGGGCCGCAAACTTCTGCAACAAGGTGCCAAAGGCGCTACTGCTTGGCCATGTCACCCACCACCAACAAGAAGAGACACGGATTTAGACAAACGACATAATGGTGCCGCTTAAACGCTCAACATCATACATGCTGGCTGCTTGTTCGAGCACCCTCATCTGGGCCTGTACCACATCTCACCTTCTCCTGTATCTGCTCCTCCACCAGGGCAGCCGCTGCTTTGTGCGCACGGAACAGGCTGATTGTGCTGTTCTGATCAGGGTCCAGCATATTTCCGTTCACGTCACGAACAACAAGATCCAGCCCCAGTGTCCTAGCAGCCATCACAATAGCATCCACCACAATAGCATCCACCACAATAGCAGTCACCACAATAGCATATACCACAATAGCAACCACCACAATAGCATATACCACAATAGCATATACCACAATAGCAACCACCACAATAGCAACCACCACAACAGCAGCCACCACAACAGCAGCCATCACAATAACATCCACCACAATAACATTCACCACAATAGCAGACACCACAATAACATTCACCACAATAGTAGCCACCACAATAACATCCACCACAATAACATCCACCACAATAGCAGCCAACACAATAACATCCACCACAATAACATCCACCACAATAGTAGCCACCACAATAGCATCCACCACAATAGCAGCCACCAAAATAACATCCACCACAATAGCAGACACCACAATAACATCCACCACAACAGCAGACACCACAATAATATCCACCACAATAGCAGACACCACAATAACATCCACCACAATAACATCCACCACAATAGTAGCCATCACAATAACATCCACCACAATAACATCCACCACAATAGCAGACACCACAATAATATCCACCACAATAGCAGACACCACAATAACATCCACCACAATAACATCCACCACAATAGTAGCCACCACAATAACATCCACCACAATAACATCCACCACAATAGCAGACACCACAATAACATCCACCACAACAGCAGACACCACAATAATATCCACCACAATATAAGCCACCACACTAGAATTGAAGGTACAGCACATTCGTGTACCATATTCTCCAATTTATAAGATGTTCTGCATCTTATAATCCAGAGAATAAGATTATACATATTCCGTTCCCTATGCTAATAAAAATAAACCTTTTTGCAGACTGGCTTTGTATGATAATATAATGTTTCACTTTTTTTACAAAGTTATTGCACGAATGCAGTTTGCGTATATTATAAAATTAAGTTCCACGTGTTATTTTCCATATTTATTATTCTGGAAACCAATTGTGCAACACGAGCTGTGACTGACAAGCACATTCAATAGTTACACCATTTGTAGCTTATTAATTCCATAACTATCGATAAGCTAGCTCATTACGGTATTATTAAACAACATACCGACTAATATTTTGATTTAAAGCTCTCGTGACTGCAGGGATTCATATTCTTGGTTCTTTCAGTAAAGCCACGTAGAAGGGAAACAATAAAATACAAATATAAAACAATAAAATTCTCACGACGTTTCAACTGCAACACAAGCAATCATCATCAGGTGTGAAAACCACAGCAAATTTTCTTGCTGTGGTTTTCACACCTGATGATGATTGCTTGTGATGCAGTCGAAACGTCGTGATAATTTTATTGTTTTATATTTTTATTATTTTCTTGTTTCCCTTCTACGTGCCTTTACCGAAAGAACCAAGAATATAACATACCGACTATTAACTTGGAATTTATTGAATATCACGTTTTAACCCTTAAATTGCTGACAACTTTGAATGCAAAGCTCAATCTTAATTTTGATTGCATTTTTTTCACTAAACTACCGAGTCTATCTCTAATTTCCTCTGTCACTCTCCATCTTAGTCCTCTGTCCCCACTGTCTCTGTGTGTGTCTCTCTCTCTGTATGCTTCTGTCATTCTGTCTCTTTGTGTCTATCCCCCCGGCATCATTGTGCCACTCCCTTACTCACCGTGTGTCTCCCTCTGTATCATTTTGTCTCTCCATGTCTCTGTCTATTCCTCTGTCCATCTGTGCATTTCCCCCTGTTGCTCTCAATCCGTCTCTTTGCCCCACCCCCTTGCCCCCAACCGCAGCCCCCATCATAACCAACGTTGCTCAAAATATTCAGCATCACTTTTATTCTTTCTTGCCTCAATTTGACCGAATGTGAAAAAAACTGCTTTCGGTCTAACTCAAAGGGGAAGTGAGTATGTGGTGCATCCCAACAGTTGCCCCATACTTATTGCCGTAGTCCATGCAGGCAGTGGCTTTCTGCTTGAGGTCCGCAAGTTCGTCTTTGGGTAGTGTCCCTGACAGAATCTGCAGGCGCCATTCCAATAGGTCGCGCATCATAGCTCGCATGGTCTTCAGCATCTCCTGATCGTTGTTCTTAAGTGGGACAAGGCAGCGGTGTCAATTCGATTTACAACAAAGTGTGCCAATTATCGCAAACACTATGCAATATCAAGCCACGATGAGTGACACTAAATGCTGTGGCACTGTTATTAACGGCAATTTATGCCGGCAATCTCACCAGGTAGAGCAGACGACAGATGCCGGCCCATTCTCGCAGAGTACTTGTGATCTCCTGCACCAGCGGATTTTCTTTCGGTGTTACAATTTCCAGTGGCCTAATATTACAACATGGGATGGAACGGTGGCACAGTGGTTAGCGCGCTACGCCAATAACCCGGTGATCTGAATTCAACCTGGTTGTCCGGAGTAAATATTTTCCAATGTCTACTGAAGTACACAGGGATGGAATGTCAGTGCGGCGTTAATGCACTGCACTACAAACCCAGTGAGCCGAGTTTTATTCTTGGCCATGGCTAACATTGGTGGCGAGTGATGCCCGGACTGACCTTAGCCCGCCCATCTTCACCAACATGCACTGACCAGCGTGGTGAGGCAAGGTCAAAAAGACCCCCGTGAGTGACATGAGGAAGCCTTTGTCCAGCAGTGGATTGACAGAAGGCTGTGCATTATCTTTATAACATTCTAAAACCAAGAGAGCACTCAGGTGAATCAAATAAGCACATCACCTCCTGCATTACATCCGCACGTATATAATGGGCCTTAAAATATTATTGCAAAATAATTTAAGAGACATATGATTGTAGTTCACACATGATCCTCTTACAGGAGTATGCATTAGCTCATGTGCTACGGTTTAGCTTTAGAGAGATGCAATAAAACTACAGCATTCTAATGATAATCTAGGGCACTGGTCTTCTTTAAAAAGTAAGAGTGGCACAGCAGGGATTACGTGCATACATGCGGTTTTTGCATATTTACGCAATTTTAAAAAACAATTACATGCCCGCGTTTTTTTTACTGCTGGAGATTACTCCAGAGGAGAATGCAAGCCAATTTGATATTGATATTTATAATTAAAAACTCGTGCATGGGGCTCAGTTCCCACCAATATGTTACCGATAGATCTCTCTTTGGAATCGCATACAGTATATGCTGGGCACCTGCTAAGTGTTAATTGCCAAGGCCACGTGCGATGAATTTAGAGTAATGAAGCTACATAACGGGAAGGCACTCCTGTCAGTCCCACACTGGGAAGGAAGACAATGATACCTTTGCGCAGGTGGCTTTCTCTTCCTTACAATTTATAGCTAAAGTTAAAGGCAACAGCCCTGCAATGGCTTGCTCATGCCACTGCTGGCAGAAGGGCCCCCATGAGCGAGAGGCCTAGAGAGCCCCTTTAGAGTGTGCTTAGACCCACATTGTCATGCTGGCCAGATGTTGTGGAAGAGGAGCGAGTACCCACATTTTATCCCACGACACATGCAACCAGCCGGTCGACTGTGGTGTACCCATTTATAATACGGGATGCCCGGTGGATTCAGGAGACTTGACCATTGTTTCAACTGCCGTGGCAGAATTTTTGAAGCAGTGGGATATCCATTGCAAGTCTAGTGCGTAATAACCATTTTACCATTGCATAATTCCACAACTGTCATACTTAAATAAAATGGATACTGGATCTGCGACACAAGCCTTTAGATAAATTACCGTATATCCACAAACTTGTGTGGAATGTATTGACATTTCCATTTAAGATGTCAAAATAACTTCACTATTTAAAAATGAATGAGCCCTGCTATGGCATGAATGCACATCTCATAAGAGATTTAAAAAAAAGTAACAAAGAGGTTGCATGTTACAGCTGGAGCTTCATGGACCATACACTCTTACACGTACCCTGGATTTTTCACCACAGCCTCCTTCAGCGATATGTATGACGCTGGGAATATCCCCTGGAACGCAGAAGAAATTCAATAGAATAATAGGCAATTAAAATTTCTTAATTTTTGCATGTCAGTACTGCAGCATGAGTTTCAGTGAAAACGGTTCTGCATTAATAGTCAATAAGCACTCATATAATAAAAACATGTTGTTAGAATGCTGGAGTCATTACTGTATACATCATGTTGTCTCGTTTCTTTAAGACAATTTTTTAAGTGCAAAGGTTTACTTAATGGGTTACCGCCTTTAAAATACACGAGTTATGGAAATGTTATTCTATACGTTCGTAAACTGCAGAAATACCTTGCAAAAACGACTTTTCAAGCAGTATCCTCTATACCAGCCTGTGATGAAAACAAACAAACATAGAAGTCATTGAAGTCATGGATAGAAAACGATCAAACAAAAGGGCAATAAACAAACACAATATTACAATGTTCTAAAACGCATTCACCAAAATTTATTAATCATAATAGGCGTGTGGATAAATAGGAGTTTCTGTGTATCACGTATAGTCGGAGTCAGGGATAAGTGTTGCAGAATTGCAGGAGGTCGAATGTATGAGGATATTTGTCCAAAGCCGTCAATTTCCCAAGAGTCATTGAAATGTACATTCGAGAATATTCAACATTGAAAATATGAAGACATACAATATTCATTTTTAAAAGGAGTTGCATACCTTCAAAGCATTCATAGATGTGCACAACATCTCCAACAAACAATGGAAGCTGATGCTGTCCTTTAGAGGTGAAATTGAAAATTGCTGCAAAAAAACACATTTTCTGGGTGAATCACAATCCATGGCCTGCTTATTAACACACCCGTGGTGGAATGATGAACAGAACCCCGCAAAAAATTGTACCAAAGATTAAAAAAATAACTTTATTTGTTGGCCGATGATTAAAAGATGGCGATACAGTACTATCGTGGTATAATGGTCAGGCAAATCGGCACAGAAGCTGATTTGCCAATTTTGCTTTTCCATTTCCCTGCCTTTCCATTCCCCTGCCTCTGTCCCACTCAGCAGTAAAAAACTGGGTTCATCACAGTTCGTCGATTGGCAGGCAGCACGCCATGGGATCAAATGCAGTTACTCCCACCTCTTACAAGATGTTTCTCATCACTGTGGTAAAGTAGGTCGAAGTCAACTTTCGAGGGGTTTCGCTCGAGCTCCCTCTAGTGGATGCCCTTTCAGTAGCAGCGGTGTGAGCAAGACATTTCAGGGCAGCACTTGTTTTTATTGAAAAGGAGTGGAGGAGTTGCGGAGTGGTCAGGGCACTGCGCTATCAAACTGGCAACCTGAGTTTGATACATGGCCACAATTAACACTCGTGACAAGTGATAACAAAAATAATTCTGGCCCTTCCCTTCACCAACATACACTGGCCAACTTTGTTTACATATGGGCAAATAACTCTCAAGATTGAAAAGCATGGGGAGACCTTTATCCAGCAGTGGATCCGGAAAAGGCCATTCATAAAATATATTTATAAAGGTGTCATTTTAAATATGATTCGGCACGTGTGTTCCATGTTTAAGTCTCAAACGCAACTTTACTGACTTACTTATGTCATAAAATAATGTAACCATAGAAACTATTGTACGTATATAAAGTACTGCATAGAGTAGTTTAAAAACAGGACTGAATATTGGAAATATATGCTGTAAAAATCATAACTTAAGATCCCCACTTGGAGTGAGATAGATGAATTGAACATGTCTCCAATGACCTGTTCAGAGTGAGGTCTTTGGCTATTCTTGGCTTCCAGCATTTGTCCCATCAATTTATCCAGCCCAGCTCGAATGTGGGCTATATTTTATCCCCAGAGTGATGTATCTATTAGTCTGAAATTGGGAATATGAGATTCGATTGGACACAAAAACATTTGTCCCTGTGGGTATGCTGCACACCGGACTATGTTTCACACCCTTGCTCACTGCTTATTTGAGAACGATTGAAACCCCGATTAGTAATTATCTGTAATTTTTAAAGGGATTTTATAGATTTTTATTGACAAAGGTTTAGGATTTGTAACAAAACAAAAAAATCTGGTTTTATTATTTTTCTACTTCCAATTTGTATTCGTGGAGGACATTATTTATGAATTTGCATTATCACTACCACATGTATATGATGTTTATATATATTGTTTATGTCAGCACTTTGAAAACAATAGTTAATTTTGGCTGAGATTAGTTCACTTTTGTTTTTAAATCAGAATTAAAATTGTTTCCAATGTTGTTTAAAATTGTGTAATTTGGAGGATCTATGGGTCTAATATAAGTTTCCAAGTCCTCGTGGCTATAAATCAGTTTCACTCCATCCTTACTCATTAATAACGGGGTCATTAGCTGAATGATAAATTACGAGGGTCAGATGCGATAGTCTGGACCCACTGGACACGCCTAAATGCGTTTGCAAAATCATCAAGACTGCCACGGAAAATTCCAATTTCCTTCTTAGATTCTACCACCTTAATGGCCTGATCTGCCATATTAACCATTACAACGATCCACAACAATTGTTTCAGGATTGATTGCCTTTGTGACTGCTTGGACCCGAGGTCACCTTCCATTGATTCACATCCCCTTCTAAACTCACTGGACGATATCACGACCATGGGGCAGCCAAAGGCTCTTGCAGCACAGACCACATGCTCATAAATATGCTGGCCAATATTGTCTTCCCAGTGAGAAAAAAAAATGTTCACTTCACCTCCATGCTCAATGTTTTAAACATTCCTTATTTATGAAGTCTGAGACAACGGCGAGCATGAATGTGTAAATTCCTCTAAACTGTACAAGTACACACACACACGTGGCTTCCAAAAACACCTGCCGATGGCTCAGTGCAAATATTTATAAGAACGGTGCGGCATCTTGTTTTAAATAAATAAAAAAATCTGTCTCGTTTTAACGTAGTATCTTAAATCGATTTGTAACATAAGGTAAAGCTAAAAGATGGTCTTCTTCTTCGTCGTATGGCTATAATTTTGAAAGCTGTAAAATTTTACAGTTGTAAATTTATACCCAAAAGGTGGTAAAGGCGCAACCCTGCAAGTTCTCCTGCCCATGCCACGTTTGGCGGCAGGAGCCTGCACCTGAAAGGAGCTCTAGAAGTGCCCCTCGAGAGAGAGAGAGAGAATTTGGCTTTTAATTCATTGCTGGCCAGACGTCTTGGAAGAGAAAACACAAGATAGTGTGCTAAGTGTGAGACTGTCTCAAAGGTCACCTGACTGGAACGTAAAACTATACGTTGCGACTCGCCTACAAGATACATTTACTCATTGTACGCTTGGAAAAGGAAGTGCCGAAAAGCCAAGCTTCGGCTGGTTGTGTAACCCCTAGCAGCCACCAGCACACAGAAATAATGAAACACAGCGCAGTGTGTGGTGAATGCACGTTTCCACCATATGGTGAGCACACTTCCCCTTTATTAAGCCTGGCACTGTCGGATAAGAGATTACTGCACTAAGCCATTTTATATATATACAGTATATATAAAACATCGAACACTGTCTAAAAACACGAGCAGTTCTGGCCTGACATCCAGACGATTGGTTTGTGTTTGACAGCTTCGCTGTCCAAAACAATTGACATAATTATTTTCCACGGCAATTGTCACATGTTTTTGAACATTTATATTTGTAATGTAATTTAAGCTGCAGGGAAGCGCATGTGACAACTACATTGCCATTTCCAATGGGCCATAGAAGATATGGATTTTGTAATCGCATTCCACACTGTGTCTGCACGTAGAGAATGTTTTTTTTTCCCAGCTGTAAACCCGTGTTTCCTATTTATCATTTGTGAGGAAGAATTCGGGTGTTCTAGTTGCAATTTATTTTAAACGACATTTTAAGTAGTTTTGGAAATACATTAAAATTTCCTCTTCTATCCCCTCTGCCACCCCCCCCCCCTTAAACCCACTAAACATTACTCAGGCGATTTTAAAGGAATGCGGCGACATCTGTTAACAAGGCAAACCGTTATTGATTAATGTTATAAGCCCTTTCCTACATTGCATTCATCATCACCGTCGGCAAGCTTGGACAAGTTTTGGCTCTTGGCGCATCAATTAGCACGACAAAGGGTGTGCAGACAGAATCTTACATTTAACCTTTGGGTGGCTGGGTTGTCGTGCGTACAATTCCTACTTCTAGCCCGTAGATTCATCTACGTGCATCGCAAGTGACAAATTGCACCACGTTATCCCCTCGGTAAAATATAAAGGCGCGGCCCTGCAATTCCCTCTCTCGCGCCACAGGCTGGCGGTAGGAGTCTCCACTCGCAGGGAGCTCTCGAGAGTCCCCTCTCGGGTATCGTTTGACCCCTCTTGTTTCACGTTGGCCAGACGTCTTGAAGAGGTGGGATTAGCAATACACTTCACCCCACCACGCGTGACTTGGTGATCGCCGAACTGTTTTGAGCACATATTTATAGAGGAAACCGCTGGGTGGACAGAGGGGGTCATAACGGGATTTTTAACTGCCGCGCCGGGAAATAAAATTGGCGACCTTTGAATTGCGAGTCCAGTCCGCTGTAGCCATAACGCCAACGCAGCATCTCTCATGTGCGACAAAGTTAACGATAAAGACCTTTTTGTTTTAAAGCGTTCGTGACTGCAGGGATTCATAGTCTTGGTTCTTTCGGTAAAGTCACGTAGAAGGGAAATACAATAAAAATATAAAACAATAAAATTCTCACGACGTTTCGACTGCAACACAAGCAATCATCATCAGGTGTGAAAACCACATTTGAAAAAAGTAGCGTTTTTTTACGTTTTTAACGTTAAAAACCGCCACTTTTTTCAAAATTTATTGTTGTGGGTTTCACACCTGATGATGATTGCTTGTGTTGCAGTCGAAACGTCGTGAGAATTTTATTGTTTTATATTTTTTATTATTTTATTGTTTCCCTTCTACGTGACTTTACCGAAAGAACCAAGAATATGTTAAAGACCTTGTCATCGTCACAGCTGACACGCATGCGGTGCGTCCAAGCCAATGTTCAAAATACTGCAGCAAATAAAATAAAAACTGACAGGCGGTCAATTAATTACGCCTGCCCAATTACGCTATATTCCAGGAAACTCTAGCAAGGACATAATGACTATACATGAATCGAGCTTCTATCTGGGTAAATAAATGACACAGAGTTGCAGTGGCTATACATAAATCGACATATACAGGCAATGTTAAAGCGATAGCAACGTATATTGATTTTTACGCTGTAGCATGAATACATTTCATGACATCACAAACTCGTGTCTAACATCTGCTTTAATCAATAATGCGCTGGCAGTGCTATTTTAAAACTTTCGTACAAGTAACTGCAACAAAACAATCAGATAAACAGCTGCGTGAAAGTGAAATCTTTACGTTAACTCCGCTGTGTGATGAATAAACATAGACACGCAACACACAGGGGAAAAAAAAAGACGTAAGAGCCACCACGCAAATAAGACACACAAAATGTCCACTTTAAACAAAGTTCAACTTCACTCACCGACGCCGTATTTTTCTTTGACCGTAGGCGTCCATTGGTCCATTACGCGTGGTTCTTCTTCTTCTTAACCCCTCTGAGTTTATTTTGGCAATGTCCTGGTGTGAATTGGTGGCTTCTCTGGCTTTCCCGTTGGTCTAATTCGCCATAGCCAACGCTGTGCGACCGCCCACGTTAAAGTGACGGAAACTGCGCACAGTGCCAACACTTATATACATCGGGTAGCCCAGTGCCTCCTCGGTCAGATTCGGCAGAAGTTGTTTCGTTTGCTCACTCTTCTTGTCTATACGGACATGACACGTACACGAGAGTATCGGACAATAGGTTCATTGTTATTCCATTAGCTCCAATGAATTATTTCCATGTTCGTATCGTGCACTGTGATCGTTTTGTTTGGTGTTGTTGTTGTTTGTTCGTGACTAAGAGAGAAGACGGCAACTTTATGCTCGTACGAAGTCCATACGTGGTTTTAAAAAATACCAGCAGTAACCTTACAACGTTGTTGCTATTCTGTTTTAGCCTTGGACCAGAACAAGACACATTCCCACCTTGTCCGCTCGTCTGTTGGCCGTTCGTCTGAGCTCAAGTCGAGCATTATCCTTCACGGACGTGTTTCGCAGATTGACAAAGTGACGGGCGCGGACAAACGCCGTTGTGCCGAAGATGACATTCGGCGGTCTAGGCTCCGTAGTCTTTCACATTCCACCCAAGAGAGGGCGACCTCGTACCAACAACACAACTCAACCTTTTGTCATTCGCCAAACTCTTTAAAGCCAGTGGTCGCGTGTTCACGTACGAGTGGATGTGCAGGGAGGGTGTCTTTTTTTGTGTGTGTGTCACTCCAACCGCTGAATGAAGACGTCCACCCGCGACGTGTCGGTCGTTTGGGTTGTTTGACCATACTTCACCACTCTTGTCATTGCCGCTCGGTTGAAGGCGCTGGGGTGGGGGGGGGCAGATCAACTTCACTGCCACTCTGCACTGCCCTCTAAAGCGCCTTCCGTTTGTGTTTGGTGCTCACACAAATCAAGCGCGATCCAGGCTCAGACCTGCTTAGCTTAAGAGATCCGAAAATATCGGGCTCATTCCGCATAGTTTGGTCATAGGCTGCTGTAGTGGACCATATCCCTAATTGTCGTATTCCGCTGGATTCTAATTCAAAGTTATAATTAATCCGAATGTCACAATACAACCTATGGGGCCGTCCATAAATGACGTCACGCGATTTTTCATTCCCCCCCCCCCGTCGTCACATAGCGTCACAAAAAGTCAGACCCCCCCACTCAAATATGACGTCACAAAGCTCTGCCCCCCCCCCAAAAAAAAACATGCTTCAAATATCTTTAAACTATTGTCATTGTAGTGCGTATTTAATGTGCCGCTGCACTCTGATGTTGTAGGAGAAAACATTATTTTAAAAGTCTATTTAATTCAGTAGAACGTGTTTATATTTATTTAAAGTTGCGCATTTTGATGTGACGTCACATATCTCACCCCCCCCCCCTCGTCACGCATCGTCACAAATGTCTGACCTCCCCCCCCACCCTAGGTGCATGACGTCATTTATAGACGGCCCCTATGGACTGCAGTATCAATATTAGTTGGTGTGGACAGGGCTTGATTTGCCACGAGGCCTACCAGCCCCCCAATAAAAACGAGCAGCAGCAGAGGGGCGAGGTGTGTGTGGGATGGGGGCGCGGCGCTGTGGTATTTTCCGTAACTCAGCCCCGGACAGCTCTGTCGGAAATTACCCCCCAAGAGTGTTGGAGCACGGTTTCAATGTTCCGCACATTGTGGATTCGGTTGCTGGCATTGAGTGCCGCCACTTGGTGGCAGTCTCTGCTAAGTTGCGTGTACGTTTGCGTGGCAATATGCCCGGCCGTTTCGTTATCGTGTTCACTTGTTCGGCGTATGGTAAACAAGGCAGTTTGCAGGGTTTGGCGAATAAACACGTGGCAAGACTGGATGTTATTGATCAGGCTTGCGGTCAAGAGCGCGACTTGTTTTTACAAAATGCGAGAAGTGGGAGAGAAATGGATGTGTAGTAACAGGAGGATGGAGAAGGCTCTTATGAGGCAGGGCTTGATTCAGATTTCAATTTCTCTCTTCATGCCATTGTAATTACAATTCCATTGCAATCCCTGATAACTGTTTATATTTCCAGGTTTTCATGAAGTCTAAAATGTCCAATATATATGAAACGTTGTGAAGCAAATGTTTTCATTTCGATAAACTATTTTAATCAAATGAAAATTACATTTCGTGGTTCCCAGTATCGCGTCCGCACATGTAAAGTACAAAATTATTATTTCTCACGTAATTTTTTACGGTAAAATTTTACAATTTTACACTAAATTATTTAAGGTGGGAAGCAGTGCACCCATTGACTGAAGTTTGATTGGTGGCCAAGGCTGACACCAGTGGTGATCGATATTTGAACATATCCTGCCCCCCCCCGCCTCGCCTTCAGTAATCAACGTGGACCAGCATGGTGAAGTATTGTCAAACAACCCCCTTGATGGACATACAATGGGGGAGGGTTTTTCATCCGGCAGTAGAGTAGCAACGGGCTGTAGATTATTTAATAATGAAGATTATTACTACAATGATCCTCTCAAGAAATCCGAACTGGTCCTGGGTCACCACCTCCACACCTTCACCGATCTGCACTGATGAGCGCGATGAAGTTCGGTCAAGGAACCCCCAACAGTGGGTTGACAACATACACTGAGAAAAAGTATACTTTTACTTGCGTGTGCTGATGTGACAACGGTAAATGCAAATATTGCATCGTTGCATATACAGCATTTACACCTAACCTTTTTTTGATAATTCACTTACAATTGACAACTATAACATTTTCTTTGGTTCTTTCGGTAAAGTCACGTAGAATGAGAATAAAATAATAAATTGATAAAATAAAATAACACAATAATATTCTCACGACGTTTCGGCCACAACACAAGCGGCCTTTATCAGGTGAAGGGACTTTACCGAAAAGAACCAAAGAAGACAAATCCTTGCAGTCACGAAAGCTTTAAATCGAAACTATAACATTGCGTATGTTGATTTCTATCCAACATCGTTAAGTAATATAACAAAGCATGCGATTTTTTGTTTAACGTGTGTGTGTTTTTCTATGAATGCTTATTGGAAAAAAAAGTTTGTGGAGCTGACACTCGCATTTTTGGAGAGACTAGCTCAAAGCACGGTGTGTTTTTTTCCGATTTGCATCACATACTTTAAAAAAAAAACTTGTTAGACCCCTTAAAGGGGGTTTTTCCATGCAATATCTCATGGGTTTTAGGTATGAAGTGCCCCTCATCCAGCAGTGGATAGACAAAAGGGCTCGCCACGCAAAGCGTGTTGTGGCTGTACGTGTCACCATTATCATCAGCCATCTTTTGTGGTCCACACAATCTACCCAGCACATGCACGCGCGCTGATTCTATCACTCCATCTCCACTTGGATGTGTTCCATGCCTTGGCTGCCTCAGTGTCAAACCCAAGCCCACTGACTTTCCTTAACAGTTTGAATTATGTCTTTCACCTGCATATTTTCTCTTATCCATGAGTTCCTCTTTCTGTCTCTGAGTGTAATCCCAAGGAAGCATCTCTCCATGCTTCTTTGCAGTCTTTTTAGTTTTTGTTTCATTAATTATTGACCACATTTATGAACCATACGTCAGAGCGGGTAGTATACACTGATTAAAAACTATCTTTTTTTAAGCACATTGGCCGCACATGTACATGTATAGAAGTTAATGACGAACTTTTGATAATGCATATTAAGATTTACTTAGTCCAGCAAGTGGTTAACTTTGACAGTGTATAACATGTTACATTTATAATTTTATGTAAAAAACAATATCTTGGCATACACCATGCATCCAATGACCTGAATGCAGTGCTTATACGTTCTGCATGGATTGGTGACTTATGCATGTGAAGATAGAATGGCTTCAGAGTGTAACAATCCTTAACAACAAATTCCCCAACCGTTCTCTGGCCAACTAACGTAATTGCTTAGAGCTCATGAGCATTTGTCAAGGCCACTCATGCGCTCCCAGAAACGTGGCCATTCGGTTGTTAGCCAAGTCGTGAACAGGCCATACTAAATAACACGAATTGTTTACAAGTTTACAACATGATCACATTTTGGAATCGTCCAACAATTGTTTGGGTTATGTTTTCATTTTGTGTTACGCTCATGACCAAATTCACCCGGAATACGCGCTCAATCTCATAAAATCTTAGAAATAAGCAGAGTTGAGCCCGGATAGTGCTTGGAATGGGCATCCACTGATGGCGAAAAACAGGTGCTTTTAATCTGCGGCAGGGCTTTGTTGCGGGCAGCAGAGGGCGGTGTCCCAAACACCACCCCGCTGTGCTGTACTCGACTTCCACTGTCTATGTTCCCCGCCTTCACCAATCCCCACTGACCAGTGTGGCGAAGCATGTTCAAATAACCCCCACGACCCGTTGTGAGGATGTCCTAATCTAGCAGTGGAATGACAAAAGAGAAGGGCTTTACACGTACACGTACATATGGGTTAATACTATGAGGGTGGGTTTTTTTGTTGTTATTATCGCAGGCTCGGCACATGGCTGCAAGTGCTGCCGTACACCGTGAGCTGGAAAATTGTCTCATTGTGTTTGTTGATGGAGAGATAGAGGCTCTCCAGGCCAGGGGGTGTCAAACTCAGGCGGACAGCGGGGCCGCTTTGGATTCAAATGCACTTCCGAGTGAGCATAAATATTTTTGGGGCCTTCGAAAATGAGAAGCATGACAATACGGTACGGATTTAGCGATTCAAAATCTGAAAGCGCTGGAAAAGAGAGTTCATTTTTAAGTGAGTTGTGGCAGGGCGCGCACCAAATCTACCGTTCTTCAATTTCAAATTCAAGTAAAAAATTAAAACACGCGGCGGGCCAGAGGAAGGGGCTTGAGGTGCCGGGTCCGGCCCACGTGCACTACGTTTGATACCCCTGCTCCACGGCCAGCTGTATAGCACGCGTGGCCGGCAGGTTATGGGCATATTGAGTTGCGAAAGGGTTACCATGCCACTAGGCACCACACCATGCCAAGGTCTCGGATGTAAATAATGCATAGATGTGAGCACATCCTGCAAATGTGTCAGCGGGAGAGGCAGCCTCCTATTGGAATGCAGAGAAGAAGAAGAGAAAACAGCATTGCATTTCTTCCGCCAATTGCAGCTCCATGGGCTTTGTCTTGCAGACGTGTCGGAACAGGCACGGCAAGCAGACAGACACCTTCGTTTTACAGTTCCAAAGCATTACTCCCTGCTCAGTCCGTCTGCTCAATGGGCGCTTGGTGGTGGCTTTAGTTGGAGACAGCATATGTTTGTTGGCATTCTGTTTTCAATCTCAATTGCAGGAATTACAATGATGACGCTGTCTCACTAGGCGTATAACTTAAGTTGTGCCTTTCGAATGGTATTAATCCGCAACATCAATGTGTGGTCACAGTCTTTAGTTATGCGAAGGCAATTTCAACCGGCGATCTCCTTTCCTCGACAATCATATAAAATAGCCAATAATAATAAAGAAAAAATAAACTCACAGCACTTCGTCAATTCACTGCCATATCGGTCGTGGGGTCACTTTACCTTAATTCAGCATGCTGGTCAGTGCGAGTCGGTGGAGGGAAGAACCAACTCGGGTTGAATAATCTCTCGCCACTGATGAATGTATGTTGAACTTCTTTCGCACCGTAGGTAACCAGCCGTGCTAATCAGAGGTAGGGGGGAAGGTCAATAAACTAAACACAAATAGCTGTTCCATGCAAGCCATTGCCAGGAACCTAACACTGGATTCTTAGTGTAGTGCGCTAACCACTGTGCGCGTGTTACCACCACCCTGAGCACTTTAACCTCACGTGACAATTCACTGTTCTTAAAATGTGAAAGGTGTCCTGCCTATATTGAGGCAAAGACATGTTGGACCTGTATTACAGGACTATGATGTTTGGTTAAAAAAAACACATAAAATTATTGTTTCCAAAAAGCAGGCAGGGTATTTTTTTTACATTTCAAGCCCATGAAGATTGAGCAACATGTTCTCGTTAAAAAGGTTCGGGGTGAAACGTGTGTTTTCTGTGACATTTTGACAAGCATGTGAAATACGGCTAGAAGAGTTATGTGCAGAGTGGTGTGTTTGTCTCGTGATGAAATAGTTACAAGATAATCATTAAACCACACCAGTATACTGCATACCGACATACACGTGCTTAACTAATCACGCTTTCACACACGTAATACATTTCACAGGCATTTTTACCTTGACGATGCATGCAGTGCAATTCGTTTCGCTTTATGTAGTGCTGTTCATGCAGAGCATCCCAGGATACTTCACAATAAAAGCTCAGGCAATAATATAAACAACTGGCCGATCGATCCAGCTCAAGGATAAGCTAATGCAATCAAATGTTTTAAATTTTACTTAAAATATTCCACTGTGCCTGCATTCCCAAGACGACTTGGGATGGAACTCCAGATGAAATGGACGTAAAAACTGAAGGCCCTGCCTCCCCTAATTTTAGATTACTTATCAAGGCCTTACCAATGAAGGTGAGTCAAGGTGAATACATTGTTACGCGGTATATGCCGATAAGAGCTAACATATTCTAACATATTCAATCATGCTGTTTGTTGCTGGCAGCTTGGTGTTTTTAGGCTTTTTGGGGCTGTGCATAGCACCTGCGAGTTTTTAATTTACAAATAATATCTGAAGACATTTGCATGCCAAATATGTGCTTCGATCTGTCATGTTCAACAATTGCTGTAATGGTGTAAAGATGAAAAAGAAAATCTCAATCCCAGAAAAGGTTAAATTCAACACGGGAATGACATTAATTTCAACTGAAAAGCAAACTAGAGAGGGCATGGCCTCAAGAACTCATAACAATCATTCACACATTGATGTAACTGCTTCTGAAAATGTCCATCAAATAGTGTTTGTCAGTTTTGTGCCCTGTTGAGTTTAGCCAATTTAGCCAATTTAGTTGAATTCGCAGAGCCAACGTGTAATCTCATGTGCCATCATTTTTGCATAGTAACCTGTATTAAATGTACCTGCGAACAAGAATTAACTTTGGCCATCATGCCAATGTGTCCAAGCTGTGCAATATTTTAAGTGGAAATACGATAAAGGCTGTCGCTCGCTGTACAATCGTCTACACTGTAGCATTAACATGACTTTTAATCAGAATTAAATTGTACTTTCCAGGTAATAAAACCAGCGATGCATAAAATGATTGAAACCTACTGGTTAATACTTCCCACTTACAATGACACATCTATGCTGACACTTTGGAATACATCCATAGCACTTAAATATAGTTTATAATAATTTTTTTAACGTGTGATTGCTGAAGTACATTCATTAAAGTTTGCTTTGAGTTGTGCACACAGTACAAATGTTTTAAATACCATTTTCATGGTGTTTTGTCATTTTGAGGTGTGAATCTTAAATTCAGCTTTGCAAGTACATTTTTTGCATTTTTACGCATCGTTATGACATGTGGATCAGAACATAGACACTGACAAAGAAAACGGAACGAACCCTAAACCGTGCACAAGTACTCCTTGAGCTATACAGCAAATATCACTCGTCAAGTAAGAACTTGCTCAATTATGGCCATCTCATTGTACAACAGAGAGTTTGTTTCAATTAGCTAAAGTTTATCATGCTAAAATAATGTTCTCAGCCCATCACACCTCTGGGGTTGATAAACAAAAATGAGTACCGCTTTCTGGGAAGTCCATAGTGGTTGTTTATGGAGAGGCTCGGCTCCGCCATAGGAATGTGGCTTTTCTGCGACTGGCTCAGGGCTATAGACAGGACATGGCCCCGCCTCAATGCTCGTTTAGGCAATAAATCACTTTGACTTGAAAAAATGTTAGGTTGTGTACATGGAGCGAAGTCATCAATTCCATTGACAAATAATTATATAAATGTAATTTGAAGACATTATAACCCCCCCCCCCCCCGTGATGATGGTTTCATTTGTCCAATGACGAGCAAACTATGAGACATTGAAATGTCAGCTGTTTTTGTCTGAGAGTTGGTGAATCTATAGATATAAAGTCCAAAATTGTTTGTGCGTGGGTTTGTGGCGGGGTTTGTGGGTTTGTTTGTGTGTTGGCGCGCTTGCGAAGGATTTGGCTCTCCAACCGTGGGGTTTACGTGAAATAAAAATAGCCAGATACCACGCCGTAAGAATCACAGCAGGTACCACCACAGTACGCACTGCTGTTATATAAGCTAGTTTCTAAATAATAACTAAACACATACAAAACATCTCTCTTCACATTTATATCCAGGGCCGTGTAAACCTATACAGTCCACGGTTTGGTGTTCGTAACCACAGTCGCACACAGGAGTAGTTTATTTTAAACGTTTGCATTGAGTATCCGCATCTTCCACGGTTTGTGCGAATTCCGTTAAGCGTTGCAAAACATTTTTTTTGTCCACGGATGACAGAAGCCGTGCAGTGTGGCGGCTGCGACCTCGCCGATCACGTCTTTTGTTGAGCACGTTACTTGAAGTCCGTTTTCATGCTGACATTCGCATTCGTGCAACATTTTTGTGCAAAATGTCGAGTTCTGGATCTCAGCCTTGGATACCGGGGTTGTTGTTCAGACAAGTCTCTATTTGGCAGGTTTCGGCCGACCTCTAATCGGTGCGGTGGAGTGTTGCAGCGCCGCGTTGAATATCTGGTAGTGTGGCACTTGACTACCAGAAGCTATGGCACTGACAGATTTTAGTCCTGTGATGGCCTGCAAAGCGCTGTTCAGTTGGGTGTCTATAAATCAACACTGGCAGCTTTTGCCCTTAGTGGAGCAAATTTCCCTGTAGTTGAGTACGCCGGCGCAATGACCCCAAGGTCGTACGAGTTACATTTTGAATGGGGTTCACCCTTGTCCTGATACCGAATCTCTCAAGGTTACCCTGATTCGTGTTTTTTTATGACTCTAAACTGATGCAAGTCCTCAAAGTCAGACGTTAACCATTCATTAGATCCATCTCCATCAGCCATGGTCAGTCTACTGCTGGATGAAGGCCTCCCCAAGTCTGCAAAAACTAAAACTGATGATAATTTACGTTTTAATGGGGAAAGAAGGCAGTGACACAGGACATTTGCAAAGTAATTCACGAACTGTCACAACAAAGTACATCAGTGGCCAGCAGGCTTTCCACCACGAAATAAAACACAAGCTAACTGCCTTACAGTACGCTCCGTCAATGTTGGGTTTCACCTGGTGAAGCCGAATTTGCCTCGAAGAGCCACGAGAAAGCCAGTTAAACCAGCTGGCGAAGACGCACGTGGTGGCCTGGCTTGTCGATTGGTGGGCGCACGTTTGTCACAGGGAGTGGCGCAAAGACAGGTAAACTCGCCCTTGATGCTTGCTGTACCCGCCGTTGTGCGTGTACATGTGTTGCGCGTGGTTCCTCCCACCTCAAACAGTCAAACCGATGGCGCGTGTGGCTTCATAACGCTTCAAGTTTTGTCATGTGATTCTGAAGGACCGAGTCTCCGTCTGACCCTTACGGACTTGTACGGAATTATAAAGTGCGGATTTAATTACAAGTTTTCCAAATGGACCAAGAGCTCAGTTAAGTATACTGTATAGTACCTTTCTTCAAAATCGGACTACCCGCTTTAGGTTTAACGTAAAGTATATGTGTATAATGTACGTGTTGTAAACTATTAAAATTATAAACGCAGCAGGAATACCTGAAATTATCGCTTTACATTTCCATTGTCATTCGTGTTGTTGAATTATGCACCATGTTAAGTCTCATAATGTACACGTCCTTGATAAGAGAGTTCGTGGTTATTGCAGAACTTTCATGAACACCCTTTAGGGAATTCTTTTCAGAAGGGTAATTTGTATTTAATAGATCAAAACTAATTTTCTAAAGGTGTTGCTTTATGAAGCCGTATTAATTCAATTGTTTTAAGTAACGTGCATCTGCTTTGAAATCCCAACTTTAACATCGGACCATCGCATATTTTCAGTAGCTTTGAAGAGGTTATTTATTACTTTAATGGGTTTTTTCTTCTCCGAACTGATGATTCAGGCAGAATATTATATTGCATCGTTAGATTTAGAAAGCTAACTTAAATTCAATCGATTGTTATTTGAGGCATATAATGAGTCATACCATTTTCTGTGTGAGCAAATAATTTTACTGTTAGCACCAATTAGTTTTTGGATACTTTTTTTACTTTTAAAGGGCTTGTCTCTTTATATAAACGCGCTCATGAGTTATTACTCGTATGCCAAAATAATAGTGCCCATTTGGAAACATTCTTTAAACATTTGTTTTATTGAGTGCAGTCTTCAACAATTATTCACGTAACCTCTCTGGCCGCTTCTCCACCTCCCTCGTGACGACAGTAGCCAATGCCCAAAACGTCGAATTCTCGCAAGATTTCCCGTCGAGTACGAGCAACAGGGCCATCGTCACGTCGCTGGCGGCATTCGACAAATGCGTTTTTCATGTTCCAGCAAAACTGGGATTATTTATATTAAAAAAAAATCGTTCGCTCTCTCATCCTGCGCGCATTCCAAGGCATTGCCCACGGGGTCACAGAGGAGTCCGGGTGGGGCAGTGACCCATGCGGGCCCCCGGGGATGAACAGCACAGCCCGAGATGAGGGTGGTGGTGGTGCTGGTGGTGCTGGTGCTGCTGGTGGTGCTGGTGCTGCTGGTGAGGGCCAATCGACCGAAACCGAAACGATCGCCACCGAGGCTCGCGGGCACAGGAAGAAGGGCGCCAAGGTGAGTCCGTTGCGGGAAGGTCCTCGTCGTCCTTTAAAACTGAAGCGAGGTGCCTGGCCGTGCGTGTACACTGGAGTGGAAATGTTAATACAAGTACGAGCGATGGGCAGACTTTTTTGATAGCTTGCCTTAACGTGAATTTCTATAAATCGACGCATTCTAAGGCGCTTTACAGCAATTCTGCCGTACATACGATGGTTGACATAACGAGTGAGGTTATTAAAAATGGGTGGTTTAGTGTACATTTATGATAACAAGTGGGAGAGGTTAAGGAGGGGTTGGGGTAGGATGTCATTTGTATAATTCCGAAACTCCCTTAGCATTGTCGGTGCAACTATTCAGTATCCCACTTCGCAAACGTTGTTTTCCTGGCCACCACGGTTAATAATGCAGGTGTATTAATCAAAAAACATACGCCATCTGCTTCACAGTGGACATTAAACATCCCATGACGTTATTTGAAAATGAGTGGCCGTGTGTGTGTGTGGTTGGCGTCGTCGTCCACATTTGTTTAAATTTGATAAATGACTCGCAAATTACTTCATTGGAAAGCGACATCGCAAACGAACGACCTGTGATACCATAGTCTATCTCGCTCCGGGCACATGAGCTGATCGCATTGATCCATCTCTGTCGCTGTCGTCCACTCTGACACGTTCTCTTCTCTGGTTGCCATCCCTTCGCCAGTCTTGTTCATCAAACTTGTGCCCTGCCCAAGCCTACTTACTTTGTTTTTAATTAATCAAACAATAGTATGCTATACGATCATTAGAAGCGATTAATACACTTCATATGTATATAGATATAAGTTTATAACGTTATAACATTAACATTAAAAAACTACTTAAAAATTAAGTCCAAATATGAAATAATTGCTTGACCATAAAAGGTAATTTATGTAAGACTGAATGGCTTAAGCAGGCTTGACACGGGTGTACATCGACAATATCATTCATCATCATGTTTCTCTAATAAGCCTTCATTATTCCATAATGTCCAGATTTATATGTGAGAAATGAGGAGGTTCAAAGTAGATGCATTAATGTCCGTGATGAGTATTTTGTGATGCAATCTGTCACCGTAATTAAATATTGTCTGCCCCATCATCCATTGGATTTCCAATTATAGTAAGAATGTTGCCATGAGTTGCGACTTCATTAGTGCGACATTTCACGTGTATGTAAATTCTCCAGACATGAAATTACCTGCTCAAATCATCACCACATGGCAACACCAGTTGTGTTTTTATAATATCTCTCTTATTATGCGGCAGTGGCATCTCAAAGCACAACAAATACATGGAAACTCATCATCATTCATTTGTCTGTGCGCAGTCACGATGACCTGGCTCTTTTAATGGTCAAGCATGTCAGTAGGGTTGCCCCGATTTTTTGATGTAGCTGTCCTGGATAATCTGTAAGAGTCAATTCATGAACGTGCAGTTCTCTCTAGTTCGGGAATTGTCAGATATCCTTCTTCCCATGTTTTGGCCCAAGTATTGTTTTTAATATCTCAGAAGTCGCAATCCTACCCATCAGTGGCAATTTGGTATTTGAACCGACACTGAGCCTCAGCTTGGTCACCGGAGCATAACGCAAATACTGTACCTATTATAAGCAACTTGGCAATTAATGATGACCAAGCGCATTGCTGAACATAATGACTGCAATGTATAAGCTGTCTTAACAATAATAGTTGCTTGCCAATGACCCTTGCCCTGGCAATATAAACGGCTTAACAAGAGGATGTTTGCTTTAATGTATTCACGCGTAAAAATTGTACGAAACACCATACAGTATTCTTATGTAGTACTGTACATTGCAGTGTCATGAAAATTTGAATAATAATTTGCAGCCCCTTTGGCAATCTGTTACTGGATGAAAGTGGTGCCATGCCAGTTGAATGGGGGTTGTTTGGCCATACTTCCCCATGCCAGTCAGTGTAGATTGGTGAAGGAGGGGGTCCAGGACCAGTCCATATATCACCGTCGCTGGTATTAGTCATATCAGGGAATCAAACTCAGGTGGCCGGTTTTATCATGCAGTGCACTAAATACCGCATCCACCACTACCTCCCCAGCATTCTGTATTTGTAACATGTAGGGTCTCGTAATTTTTGGCCATTCTAAATTTTTGTCCCACACGTGATAATAAGTATGTACAGTATGTGTGGCTTGGCTCTCCAACACACCGATGTGCTGTACGAGTGACGAATTGGCATGTTCTGTTTACTAGCTGGCTGCGTCGGGTGGTGGTGGGTTTTAACGACACATTTATATATTTACGAGATCTAACCCAAAACCCTCTATTATGGCTGATATTGCTCGCGAAAGCCTATGTGTTAAACAAACTTTTTAATGTGGGGCATCTGAATCTGTTGGTTAATTTGTTGAGCTGCACAAGTCTACACCTGCACTTACTAAATGACAGGGCAAGGATATATAATTGTCAGAAACTCCTCTTTAATAGTTATTCATTAAAGATAAACACTGCTTGCATTTTATACTTCACAGTGTGTCCAACAACATTGTACGCATTTCTTTTTGTGTTGTACCTATGCAATGTTGAACTTCTATTGCATCGTACGTAGCTAACCACGCTCATCGCAGGTTTGGAGTGAATATTCCAAGTGTAGTGAATCCAACTGAGTCGCAGACGTTGTCTTAGGAGCAACACTATTTATTTCATCAACTCAACATAACATAACACAACCTACACTTGGGTGTTGAATGCCCATCTAGCCACGCTACGGCAGAACTAGACACAGTTCGCTATCCCGGCCCACAAGCTGGGTCCCGGACCGCGTGGCTAGAGGCTTCTTTTACCCGACGTGGATCTCTTCACCAGCAACACGAAGAACCCCGAGCCCCGCACGAGGCCCCCGTTACATCGGCCCGGGCTGGGGCTGGCTCCGCCCCTCGCCCCGCCCACCTTCTAGATCTCTCGAGCTCTTTCCCGAAGGCTCCCAAGAGCTCTTTTAGACCACGTGACCGCCCAGCGGCCCCCGTCCACCGTTGACCCCCCTCCAATATCATCCAGTCACATGTCGGCAGGTCAACCGGCGTATCATGCCCCAACGTAACCCTGGCTGGCTGACACTCCCTCTTGCTCCCTCACCGGGAGCCCGCACCGCCCACTGTACGTGGTGTCTCCGCGCTGACCAGCGCTCACCCAAGCCCCGCTAGGGCTGGTACTCCCCGGGCTACACATAATGCCGCCATGGCTTCGTAAGCCCGGCACCACACAGTGACATTCACAGTCACTACACAAGTAATAATTGGAGTGTAACTTTGAAACAGCACTGGAAAAAGGATCCCATGGATATGATTGGCATGTAGTAGATTCTGTTTAGGCCTCGTATTCAGGCGATGCCATCGTGGTGTAATGTTTATCTCTCACTGGACTTGCAATTCAGAGACCACTGGTTCGATATCCTGGCACGGCAGTTATAGTAATGGTAAAGTGTATTAAATCCCGCCCCCCCCCCCCCCACGACATCTGTGCACTCAGCGGAGCACACCACAGTTAGTCGATCGGAAAAGTGTGGGTACTCCCGCCTTTTGGAGGGTCGGTCAAATACCCTTTTAGATGGGCTCCCTACTAGCTAAAACTTGTGGAGAAGGCTGTAGAGTGGGAAGTTACAGGGCTGCACTTTCATCTTTTACCTTTCCTGAGGAGGGCTAATTTGCAGAGGGGGGGTCACTTTCGCTGATCAAAACATCATCAGCCGTGAGGGCAGCCATAGATTTGAAACCATTGGGGTTTGACAGCAGCACAATGATGATGATGGGGGTGTTTTCACATTTGTGTATTGTCAGGGGCTGTCAGTGGCCTGGGATGTAGTGATGCATCAATTTAATAGATTAATTATTAAACTCACAATACATACATGAAATCTCAGATGACAATCCATTATCTTTGATTGGCATATGATTACAGAGCACCACCAATGTAAAACGAATTCGAATTGTGTTCCAGAATCATGATAATTCATCAACGAGCAAGGGTGCTAAATGGGGGCAGGCCTACTACAAAATGTCAAACATGTTCGGTAAAAGTTTGGCTGACTAGCTTAACTGTATGAATTGTATTCCCTCTATTTTCTGTTCGGGATAACAAAAAAATTTGAGCAGTCGCAAACTAAGGATTACACTAGGGTGCTGGTAACGTTGTTCTGTGTCTTGTTTATTTTTTGTTCCTGAGAATGTATTTATTTGTTGAGGTGAGAGTAGTTAAGTTTATTGTAAGAATAAAGACATGGTTATTTGTCTTGGGTGGTGTTCTGTCAATGTCTCTATTCGTGTTTGTATTACATCGTGTGTGTTATTAACAAGGCATGGGTGAAAAACACAGTAATTATAGTATATATGGCAATATTTCCCAACGTGTTACATATTTCTACCATGAGGGCATTTGGACCTAGATATACTCGCATAATTATACCTTGGCTACCTGACGGTGTGGTCCGCTTTTGAGCCAGCCATGTTACTGTTCAGCTCATGTGCTGCATTAAGATAATATTTGATAGTGTAGTGAAGCGTAATGGAGTATAGCTGTAAAAACTAAATGATTCATACCACTTTGTGATGTTCATGAAGGGATATTGTGTCCCCCATCAGTAAAATATGAGTAGTTTTTGTCGTAAATATTTTAATAATTGATTATCCTCCACGGAGTTATGGTGGTCTGAGATTTTGTTGTAGTGCTTGTGAAATGACATAAACCTTAAGAAATCAATATGGAGACCACTTAAGAGAAAACCATAACAGTGAAATACAGCTCAGGCAATGTGTGTCTTTCTACCACAGCATACTGGAATATATATACACACAAACAATATGGAAGATTTGACTAAAACAGATATTTTATGCATTCGGCATAAGATAAAATGTAGGGTGAATAAACATGAAGCATATGGACATGTGCGAACCTATTAATGCAAGGGTGAAGTGTGCACACGGGCATGATGAGTATTACGTTGGCACGTACACAGCAAGGAGGTGGATATTTGAGCAATTTCCATTCATGGTGAATGCACGCATTAGTATGTGCTAAGAATACGCACTGTGTTGACATGTCGGAATTTAAATAAGGTGAGAATGTAAATAAATAGGACAGAACGTCTTTTTTGTGTTTAGTTTGTCCCCCGCCTCACCTCCAATTAGCACGGCTGGCCACGTGCGGTGCGAAAGAAGTTCAACGCACACGTGCATACGTAGTAAGCACCAGATGAGTAAGCATGCTTGAGATTGCACTTTTTAGTAATATAATAATCTGTAATTCGAATGAATCCTACTCCTTTGCCACACTGCCTGCTTATTTCAAAAATATATACTGTACTAATGTTATTATCAAGATGTTTAAACCCTTGTCTACTGAAGCGCAGGACTGCATAGCAATTGTATGTTACACCAAGAATTTCAATAGTTTTGGAATACACTATTTGTTACAATTACCCAATGAATATGTTAACGTTTAACCAAAAACTTAGAAACTAGGATGGCGACAAGAATGACCGCAAACACAATGGTTGCATTTTTTATTTTAATTTCTCAAGCATGTATTTGGAAGTCTTTATTTTTTGTATAAACCAAAGAATTTTGCAGTGGTGTGTCATTTTAACACACCTTTTCTTCAGAATACATTCTCTTGCCAGAGAGATTAATATTTTGACGGGCAGAACAATGCCTAGGGGTGTTGTTCAGGAAGAAAAGGTTTTTTTTGCTTGATATCTCGCAAGCTGCTGCCAGTCGTTATGGAAAAAAACCTGCCAAAGTCTTCACACGTAAAGAACAACCATCACACAACTTATATCAAGAACACGTTAAATAAAAACAGCAATTTTTGTCTGTACCTCCATTTGCTGTTACAATGCATCCGGTATGGATGGGTTTCTTTTTACTTCAATTGGTTAACCAATTGTTGTGAGCTCTTAACACAACCACGTGTTATGCACAGTACTTCACAATAACATTACTGTAGTTTCTGTCCACGTTGAGCTATACAGCGATGTTTATACAAAAAAAAACTGCTTACGTTTCTTGTTTGTGTTTTGACAGCCTATGGTTTAGCAGTCTAGAAGTAAAAAAAAACACGTTTTAAAATGTTCGATCGAGCATAATGGAAAAAGGTATAAGTGCAGCCCTGCAATTACTTGCTCACACTACTGCTTGCAGATGAGCATCCACTAAAGAGTGCTCTTAGAAAGCTCGTCATCAAGGTATTTTTGGCCTTCTCTTTCACACTGGCCATACGCCTTCGAAAAGGGCATGTTTTTTTTATATTTGTCTTAGAATATATAAATATAGGTCCGCTCATTTGTTTACAAAGGCAGGTCGTCGCTTCTAAAATGATGTCCACAGTTATTATAAAATATTTAAACAAAAACTATTTAAAATTTTACCAGGTAAGGCCCACTGAGCCTACATAGCTCTTTTTCATAAACGACCTGGCCACAAATGATAGCTCAATGAAGTAGCTTATCATGTGGAAATTTATTACAGCCAAATACTCTAAATTGATGTTTCTAGATGTGAAGGGGAAAGCCATAAGTCTCGGAGAAAAATGTCCACTACCACAGGGAGAACATGCAAACTCCAAATATACAGACGTCAGGGTTGACGTAAAACCCACGACTTCCTGTATACCAGGCTAGATAGTTAACATCTCGCCACCACGGCGCCCACTGTGGAGATGGAGAGATGAGAGCATCTCATGTGCAGGAGTGAGATGGGTTGTTTCATCCAGCAGTGGATAGAACAGGGCTGATTACCCTGATAATAATATGTACCTGGAAGTACTGTAGTATGTAATGCATACAGTACTTTAAAAAAGGTTGTTTGAATTTATATTTGCAATATCTGATTGGTATTGCAATTGCATTAGCTCTTGATTTCTACTTAAATGATTAATGGTAGTACGATTTGCGGCGTAAAATAAAAAAATATATATCCTTCCCATTGATTTTGTTTTACCTGGGGCAGTTGGAACAGCTGTTCATGGTTCCTAAATCTGTCCACCTTTATCCACCCCGCAGTATAAATGGGTACACAAGTTAGTCGATCGCCAGGTCGAGTGTGGTGGGGTTAAAGTGCGGGTACTCAACCTCTTCCTGGACGCCTGGCCAGCGTAGAAGAGGAGGCCCAAATACGATCTAGAAGGGCTCTCTGGAGCTCCCTCGAGTGGAAACCCTGCTCCCAGCAGTGGCCTGAGCATGCAATTGCAGGGCTTCACCTTTACTTTTTCCCTTTCGTACGAGGGGCAGATGAGTAGTGATTATCTATTTATTTGCGTTCACTCAGGGTCATGGCAAAAAGGCAAGAGGTGCAAGTGCAGGAGGACGGGCAAAGTCACAGCATCCTCCTCCGGAGTTCGCGAAGGAGATTCGAGCTTGGGCCGAGAGGATCCAGAAACGCATTGAAAAACGCAAGTTCAAGCTCAAGTTGGACTTCTCTGCGTTTAAGAAACTCTTCCGTCGACGCAAGAAAAAGAAGAATGTCGCTACCGCTGATCAGTCCACTTTTGCGACACAAACTACAGACGGTGGTGCATCAACGGGCGAGGACTTGGAAAACAGGGAAGAAAGGAGGCATGCCATGGAATTGTTCGAAAAGTTGTTGAGAGACCTCATGAAAGGGATGTCCATGGAGGACCTTAGATATACCAGCACAGGCTCGCTGTGCAGCAGACGCTTCTCCGGTGATACACTGAAATCAAATCCTGGCGTGGCGACCTTGCAGAGGGATGCAGCAACAAGCAGCGGCTCTGTGTCTACTCCTGCCTCGCAGCAATCCACCATGAGCCGTGCGATGGACCCACGGTCCATGCAGAGGGCTGCCCTCACCTACCTTCTCATGAAGCTCTCCCATGAAACGAACTCCAACGGCGGCATGTCCGACTCCATGGAAGCAATCGGTCGTGCTCGTTCCGCTGAACTTTCCCAGAGCGAGTTGGGCATGAAAGCCAATGACGATTTGGAAAGATGGTGCTGGGAGTTTTTGAGGTCCGAAGGAGACGTTTTAGATTCTTCAGAATCTGATGACGGGTCGGAAGATGAGTGCGGGACCAACGGGGATGCGTTGCGTCTCTCAGGTGGAACGAGCAAGCTCTCCACCACGGGGAATGTGGACCAGAATCTGAGACGCCACTCTTGCTCTGATGTGGCTGGCTTGAAGTTAACAAAGATGAAAGGCAAACAGCGTCTTCCACGTGGGGAAATGATTAACTCCAAGTATTCCAGCTTACAGGAATTTCCGCATGATGAATTAGGTACTGATATACATTTATTGCATTTGTTTTGTCATTTCCTTCCAAAACATCTTACCATGATATTTCCACATATAAGTGTCTATTCATATATATCATAATAATAACACAAACATTATAAATGGTTAACCAATAATGTTTCTGTGTGTATGTCTGTCTTTGTGTAAGTAGATTACAGGGAAGAGGACCTCAAGTCTTCAGGACAATCTAAATTCCTAACACTGGAAAGCAGTGCCTTGAGTGACCCTGTAGATGGGACTGGCATTCCTGGCCATAGCAACTGCACTGCTAATGGACAGGAAGTAGATGCACATCGAATCTCCAGTGAAAATATAAACGAAAGTGCCAACGAACAAAACAACCACAGTGGTAAGTTTGCACTCATTGATATATGGACAGGTTGTATCGCGTAAGGGATGCGATCGTCGAGTAATAGTTAGTACACCAGACCTGCAAGTTAGAGGCCACGCTGTTCAATCTCCTGGTGCGGCAGGAGAAATGACGATGCAAGTTTTATCAAATCTCCCCACTGCCTCTTTGCACCCAGCAGTATAAATGTGATCCAGCACAGTCACGCTTTGTGGGTGTTTAAAGTGTGAGTACTCCCACCTCTTCCAAGATGTTCATGCAGTGTGCAAAAGTGGGACAAATACCCTCTAGAAGGTCGCTCTGGAGCTTATTTTAGTGGATATCTCTTTCCCCGGCAATTGCAGGGCTGCATCCTTACATTTTTTTTCCGATCGAACATTACGTAACTTTTTTCAATCCACATAAAACAAGCACAACTTTAGCGTTGCTCTGCCAAAAAAATACCAATATTGCATGCAATGCGCAATCGAAGTACATATTTTGCGGATATGTACAGTGAGGGAAAAAAGTATTTGATCCCCTGCTGATTTTGTACGTTTGCCCACTGACAAAGAAATGATCAGTCTATAATTTTAATGGTAGGTTTATTTGAACAGTGAGAGACAGAATAACAACAACAAAATCCGGAAAAACGCTTGTCAAAAATGTTATAAATTGATGTGCATTTTAATGAGGGAAATAAGTATTTGACCCCCTCTCAATCAGAAATATTTCTGGCTCCCAGGTGTCTTTTATACAGGTAACGAGCTGAGATTAGGAGCACACTCTTAAAGGGAGTGCTCCTAATCTCAGCTTGTTACCTGTATAATAGACACCTGTCCACAGAAGCAATCAATCAAATATATTCCAAACTCTGCACCATGGCCAAGGCCAAAGAGCTCTCCAAGGATGTCAGGGACAAGATTGTAGACCTACACAAGGCTGGAATGGGCTACAAGACCATTGCCAAGCAGCTTGGTGAGAAGGTGACAACAGTTGGTGCGATTATTCGCAAATGGAAGAAACACAAAAGAACCGTCAATCTCCCTCGGCCTGCGGCTCCATGCAAGATCTCACCTCGTGGAGTTGCAATGATCATGAGAACGGTGAGGAATCAGCCCAGAACTACACGGGAGGATCTTGTCAATGATCTCAAGGCAGCTGAGACCATAGTCACCAAGAAAACAATTGGTAACACACTACGCCGTGAAGGACTTAAATCCTGCAGCGCCCACAAGGTCCCTCTGCTCAAGAAAGCACATATACATGCCCGTCTGAAGTTTGCCAATGAACATCTGAATGATTCAGATGAGACCAAAATGGAGCTCTTTGGCATCAACTCAACTTGCCGTATTTTGGAGGAGGAATGCTGCCTATGACCCCAAGAACACCATCCCCACCGTCAAACATGGAGGTGGAAACATTATGCTTTGGAGGTGTTTTTCTGCTAAGGGGACAGGACAACTTCACCGCATCAAAGGTATGATGGACGGGGCCATGTACCGTCAAATCTAGGGTGAGACCCTCCTTCACCCAGCCAGGGCATTGAAATGGATCGTGGATGGGTATTCCAGCATGACAATGACCCAAAACACACGGCCAAGGCAACAAAGGAGTGGCTCAAGAAGAAGCACATTAAGGTCCTGGAGTGGCTTAGCCAGTCTCCAGACCTTAATCCCATAGAAAATCTGTGGAGGGAGCTGAAGGTTCGAGTTGCCAAATGTCAGCCTCGAAACCTTAATAACTTGGAGAAGATATTCTTAGCTCTTTCGGTAAAGTCACGTTTCCCTTCAACGTGACTTTACCGAAAGAGCTAAGAATATGAATTACTGCAGTCACGAAAGCTTTAAATCAAGACATGGAGAAGATCTGGAAAGAGGAGTGGGACAAAATCCCTCCTGAGATTTGTGCAAACCTGGTGGCCAACTACAAGAAACGTTTGACCTCTGTGATTGCCAACAAGGGTTTTGCCACCAAGTACTAAGTCATGTTTTGCAGAGGGGTCAATACTTATTTCCCTCATTAAAATGCAAATCAATTTATAACATTTTTGACATGCGTTTTTCTGGATTTTTTTGTTGTTATTCTGTCTCTCACTGTTCAAATAAACCTACCATTAAAATTATAGACTGATCATTTCTTTATCAGTGGGCAAACGTACAAAATCAGCAGGGGATCAAATACTTATTTCCCTCACTGTAAATCAAATTAATGGCATGCTGTGCAGCTCATTATTGGAGCTTGCTTTTAATTGATCACTTTGTGCAGAATTGCCTGCGATGCCTGCGCCAAAAGTGGAGCTCCTCCGAATGCACGGGGAAGTTTCGGATTCCCATCCCAGCCGCGGCAGCAGCTCCCGCTCCAGCTCCGGCTCCAGGGTTTTTGATTTTCTCAGCAGGCGCCATCCTCACCACAGGAATCACAGCCATGAAGTAACGGGTGGTGCCAATAATGACGGCACCAAAGGGCACATGGAAGCAGACAGTCGTGAAGCCCACGCTATTGGAGAGACAGGTAACACATTATAATAAGCGTTGTTTTATTTGACATGACCAGAGACCTTTTTCCTGAGGAGCACGTGACAAATAATGGCTGCATTGTTCACCTGTTATTATTATTCTTTGTTTTGGCCATGGCTTCCTTCATGAAATGATTGTAATATAAACAAAAAAATCACTGTTTGCCTTGGCATGAGAACATTTTGGGATTGTATGGTAGGGCAGTGCTTGTCACTGCGACATATGAATTAGAATGGCAAGGTATATGCTAAACCCCTGCAATTAATATTCTCCTGGACACCTTGGCTACTTGGCATGGGCTTCTGTGGTTACTTACCCTTGCTGACTTCAAAACTGTGCCCACGGAGCTCTGGTGTCGTAGTGTACAATCAAAATGCAGCAGTGTAACACGGGGCTTAAATTCATCAGGAGCTGCCTAGGGCTGAGCTCTGAAAAATATTCCCCCCGCTCTGTCGGTGGGCAGGGATACACAGTGTTGGTGGACCCGGGAAGTATGTCATGAGAAAGGATGTTACAATGTATTGATGTGGTAGAAATAACATAATTTTTGGTATTAAATGGAGTCTGAAAACCATGTACCGCATTTTATTTTCTGCAGGAGCTGATGGGGAAATACTCACCGAAGTCAACGAAACGCTGCCAAGCAGCGGAAAATACAATCCGAGTGGAGGCAAACGTACAGAGTTTACTCAAGAAAGCACAGACGAGTCAGTAATGGCCTGTCAAAACAAAGCGAATGATGGTGGGAACTTATTTGACGAACAACATGGCAGCAGCAGTGTTCTTGAAACTGTCGAAGAGTACAGTGGGACGAATACGAGTTCTCGGACACATTTTATAAACAATGGGAATGGCCATTTTGACAACGATGTGGATGTTGACAGCGAGAGCTTATCTGTTGGAGATGGATATGTTTCGGTGCAGGAAGGATCAGTTATCGATTCGAGCGGTGAACATAAACTTTCTTTAAGTGATGGCGAGTCTCCAAACGGCAGCAAAATTGTCTGTCATACGACGAACATTCGGGCCGAGATGCACAACAACAGCCACAGTGTTGAACGTGAAAGGCATTTTTCGTCCACCGAAAATCTTGACAACAAAACACACGCACACGATCAATCTAATGTTCAACATCTACTTAATTCAGAGGCATCTACCATCACCAAATATTCCCAATCTTCTGAATTTTGTCCATTGGAAAATGACTTACTAATTTCAAGCTCTAGGGATTCCCAAAGCGATGTGGTGGATTTTACAGCTCAAAATATGGAAAACGAATTAAAGAGAGGCATTGCAATTGAAGAAAACAATCATAGATCAGATGCTGAAGGACACGTGCATTGCAAGACTAAAGATGTTTTTTCATATTTGGGCAAGCAACCTTATACCGACAGCGGTTTGAAAGTTATAAGGAATAGTATAAACATTGAGCATACCTCGACAGAAGAAATAACAAGCGTGGATAATTATGGACATGGTGAGCAATCAACAGCCTCTTATGCGGAAGACATCCAGCAAGAGCACAATCAGGATGATCTAGCATCCGGTGAAAGACATCGAACGTATGGTCATCGAGGACGCCCTGTTGACACGCCTCTGTCAGGGGTGCAGTCCTGGCATGAATCGACATTCAACGTGATCGTTAAAACAAGGGGACATGAAAGCGATGCCTTTGGTCCTGCACATGCCGGTGAGAACAAACTAGACGGGTGCAGGAGTCCAAACGGCTCTGAAAACAGCGAGGGCGCACTGTCGGAAACAGAGTCGGTGTCTTACAGCATCGTCACGTCTGAAGAAAGACGGTGGGAGGCAGGGGTCTCGGCTGTTCAACAGGGAGAGGAAAGGTTTAGGCCTCCGTCAGGCAGCCGGCCCGGTCTGTACGCCAAGACGGAGCCAATCTGCCGGCTTACAGGAGAGGCAGCGCACACCTCTCGCACCTCAGAGGAGTCTGACAGCGAAGAGAGCCTGTTTTCAGATCACGGCGAGCAAAGCTCGGCAGCTGTTGCCCAGGTTGGCATTTACAAATGTTGTGTTGGTTATTAATGGGGGAAACAAATGGAGCTCGCAGGTTTTTGTGTCTACACAGGTCACGGGGCATGTGGGTGGCTGCTGTTTGAAAGCAATAGCTTTGCGAGCCCTTCTGTATGAGAAAAAAAAGACACAAATGAAAACACATCTTGGCCCTTGCTTATTTTGGCAGCATGAATCTTAAAATATTTTTTTATTATTTACTTTCATAGTCTATGATGTGTTTAGAAGATTGCAAAACAGGTTTGTCATGTAGGACTGTATCAAGATTTATTTGAATTTATGGGGAAAAAAAACTTAGCTTTTTCTTTCCTAAAGAAATTTAAGTTTTCACTTTGATAGTTTGCTATTTTATTGCATTTAGCACAACGAAGACAAACGAATCTAAATGTTTGGAAAGCAATAAGAAATACAATTAAGGGATTAAAACACATTTTAAAACTGTGACAACTAGATAAAAATACATTTCGATTTAAAGCTTTCGTGACTGCAAGGATTCATCTTCTTGGTTCTTTCGGTAAAGTCACCACGTAGAATGAGAATAAAACAATAAAACTAAATAAGACAATATTCTCACGACGTTTCGGCCACAACACAAGAAGGCTACTTGTGTTGTGGCCGAAACGTCGTGAGAATTTTATTGTCTTATTTTGTTTTATTGTTTTATTGTCATTCTACGTGACTTTACCGAAAGAACCAAGTAGAAAAAAATACATTTGAAATTCATTCTTGTAGTTTGCCCGACTACTTTAGCTAAATTTGCGAGCGATTAAAATAAATCCCACACACACACACCATAACTTGTCCACGTGGTTCAAAAGTCAGAGAGCAGCGAGGAGATACCACGAAGAACATAGCTTCTAGTCTGGGTTTTAGCCAAATTAAATAAAATCTTATTTTCAACTATAATCAGTTGATGACCTAAGCATGGTCACCCGATATTAACGGACTTACCACCATATAGGATGTGGTTTTTCATGTAATTTTCCTACATTCTAGCACTAAAAATTTCTAGTATGACGTTTGTTGCCATGCAACAAACAACAATATCAAATCACACTCTGTGGTAAAACGCACCGCATGTTGTTTGAAAATAATAAGGTTGCTTGGAGAGAAGTTACGTGAAGATGCCTTGAGCAGCCATTGACTAACGCTTTGGTTTACGCTGCTCTGTAAGATTTCCAAATGGATGGTTTGTCTCATTACAGGAACCACACAATTGGGGGGAAAATAGATGCAGTATATATGGGTGTTTTTTTTTACACGTATATTGTCTATGCACGGCCAATATAGACGAATTCATTTTATTTTCAAACAGTTTATTTATTTTTGCTTCTTTGAAACATATCAGTTGATCTCAAGCAGGGCTTTGTGGTTATCTCAAAATCACAAAGCCCTGCCTTCAACCCATTTATGTGAAAGTGATTCATAGCATGCAAAATGCGTTCTAACGAAGTAAAAAAAAATGTTTTGGCTTCAACTCTGTAGCCAAGGTGGACATTATTTTTAATAGTTAAGCGTTTTCGTGTTTTTTTTTATCTCAGTGGACGCTTTGTTTATTCACAATGCTACATCAATGTATTTGTTTATTTTCGCAGGGTTGTCTTCATGAGAGCAAAACGCTCCGCGTGGTGGATTGGGGCACCCAAACAGGTGCGGTGCCATCGATACAGAACTAAACAAAAACACAAATTATGCACGGACAAAAGGTTATTCGAAAAATATCGCATGATTATAAACTCTCTCGCTCTAACCACTTTAAAATTAATATTTTGTCAGCGCATGTGTTGTGCTGTTTTGATTTCTGTTTTGCAATTTGTAGATTCTGTTTCCTAAAATGTGCTTGAAAAGTATGTAGTTATTTAAACACAAAATGCGATGCATTGTACAATTTTAAGTGTTTAATGGAATACTGATTTTGTTGGTGTACATTTGTATTTTACATTAAATATGTGTGAGAGCTCAAGAATTAATTGCACATTTACACATGTAAGTGGTGGTTTCTTTAACATATATATTAATAATGATCAGTTGTATTTATGCAGTGTGTAAATGCTCTGATAAGTTCCTGTACAGAGTAATTCACAGCAAACTAAATCTTAAAATCAAACAGAAAATAGATGCTTTTGCAATTTGTACAGCAGTGTGATTCTCTGCACACGATGCCAATCACTAAAGATTCCATGCATTGTCAGGACTTGTCATTGTCATAGTATGAACAAGTAATACATTCATTGGTATGATTGGCTGAATTGTATGATGACCTAGAGCTTGTTTGCTATCACTAATTGTGCGATATTCTAAGTTATTCCGATTTTTCCATTTAACTTTTTTAACGGTTTTTTAACGCTTTCTATGGTTGCAAGAGTTTATGCCTTAGCACTGTCCATGCCACAACAACTCTTGTAAGTTTGATTCAATAAGAGAAAACCTTTAGTATTAAGCTGTGTTCCTATTAGGCACTTACATTATAGAAAACGGGCCAAATGAATCAAAGACTTCCCCTTCTGGGTAAAAACTCGTCTTGGAAATCTGCTACGGCGTCCATGCGTTGGCATTCTTTTTCTTCCCTGTCTTCCTCTCTCAGCAAGCGACCCAGATAGCGTGAGCCCCGGTGCGCAAAGTGCACTCAGCACCGATGACGGTGGCCTTTTCCAAGTGTCCCCCCCGGAGTCTGAACACTGGGAGACGCTGGGCCCCATGAAGAACGCTGCCTCCTCTGCAGCAACACAGACCATTTGGCTGAGCCACGCAGAGTGCCAGACCCACCATGGAGAGGATTTGCCTGGAGCCACGGGGGAGACTGCTGCATCTGGCAACAGAAGCAGTAATCTTGGCCGTAAGTGTGTGCTGAATTTAGATGATGCGATGCACTTGTTCTTTGGGCTTGTAAAGTAAGAAAAACACAATGCTTGATCGCTTGGTTGGTTTTGTACTGTGCACCTCCTCGGCGTTACTTTTAATCTGTGAAGGTTAAAATGTATTTAGATAATCTGTTTAGACGTTGTAAAACTTGTACAAAAATATTTCGTATCTGTGTTATGTTAATTTTTTTTACTGAACTATTTCGCAGGGAAAATCCCGGATGATTGCACTCATGTTCAAATCCAAGACTATTTGTAATTGGTGCCAAAAGCCATCACCAAAGGGTGTCCTGGGTATATAATAGTAAACCTACTTCATTAGAATGGTAGTATGTCTACAATTATAGTATTTTTTTCCGAGTTACAGAGACAATAGCTTCCTGCTAGTGACATGTGTCACTAATACATAACAGCATTTCACTGTTATTGCTTCCAGGAGGTGTTTGCTGGTTCATTCCTGCTGACAGAGTGTCCAATATCCACGGGGACTTTACAGCTGACGGAGAACGGCTAAGTCATCCAAATGGGCCCATTCCCGCAGGAAAAAGGCGGCCCGTTGGCCCGTATATGGTCATCTCCCCCAAGGTAAAAAAGACAAACCTCACACTTAGCCCGTGAGACAAGAGGGTTGATTGTTATCACCTGGATGGACAAATGCTACCAGTATCCACCATGGGCAGAACGCTTAGCTTGTGTACCGTCTGTTTTAGAGACACACTTCATATTTATTTTCATATTCCAAACTTCAGATTATGTAGCTGTTACTATAGAAGCATTCATCTATCTGTGTCTCTGAGTCTATGGGTATCTATGCAAGTAATGGTGCTGTGTAGGAACAGCTGCCACTGTGGATCCCTTTGGCTCAGCTGCAGCAGGGCAATGAAATGATTGAGATATGATATAACGTGTTTTGGGTTGCTGAGGCACTTTATGTGCCCGACACATGTAAATCCGTATCTTTACGTTTCACATTGCCGTGTTCCAAAAATATATTCTTTATCACATCTATTACACATACACAACGTTTGTTCTTATATATATGTAAAAGCTACCAAAGTGACCCTGCTAGCAAACGATCTGGAGATTAAAAAAAAAAATCGAGAAAATAATTGTGACCATTTTCCACCCTGGGTGGCACTGGCATGCACTTGTTTGGCTCAAGGACCAACTATGACAAGCCTTTAAATGGATGAGCAAACAAGAACGGCTGGTGCGGCTTCACACAACGGGGACAGCAGTGCATCACATCAATCTGCTTAAACAAGTGACGGCCTCATTATCCTCCCAAACTCTCCCACGCTCTGCTGCTTTCCAGCCCCCTAACGTTTCTCAGCCTCGCGGTAGTGGACAGACGCACGCACTGAGGTGGGGCTTGGGCAGCTTTGTGCACTTTCACGCACCGTGTGTGCGCGCCAGGCTGCTTAAGCACGCAAGCACTCTGTTGATGCCACAGAGCCGGAGACGAAAATATATTTTTAAAAAATAACTCGTCCACCACTCTAGCCGCAACGAAGACACGCATGTATCCAACGAGTTAAATAATCCCAGTGCCAGGCGTGAGAAACGGTTGTAAGTGTGTGCTTTGTACATTAAAAAAAAAATCACACGTGATAATGTATAAACCGTCATTGCTCTCCTGAAAAATATAGACTACAGTATGTAAATTGGAGGCACTGTTCGTATTTGGATACATTCTGCACTGTACGTCAAGCCAGTTGTCTCCCTGCTCAGACAATTATTCCGTGGTGTTCATCTCTACTGGCAGCTCTTAGCCATTGGGGTAAATTCCACATTCCTATGGCGTTGGTAATGACACCATTCAAACTATTAAGAAATTTATATGGGTTTGAGATCATGGACGATGTAATAATAGTGGCATCCAGGGAATGCAATGTGTCTGAGGGAGACGCGGAGATGGAGTGATGAAATCAGTTCATGAGCAGGTGCTAGGTGGCTTGTTACATTGCAGGAGCTTTGGAATTGATAGCAGTTTTGGGGATACTTTTATCTAGCAGTGGGTTGGCAATGGTGGATAACAATGATGATGACAAGGACCAGTCTATCAAAAGGATGACAGAGCACTGTTGACTCATCGCAAAGTGGCACCACTTAATGTATTTACTTTATAGAGTTTGTGGGAGGGGACATGATAGACTAAGTTGACCCGTGACCAGAATTTTAACTCACAACCTTCCAACGGTGCATTGATTAATGTATCGGCCACCTGGTCTGATGCAGCATTATTATTCTTATGGGAGTAGAAATAATCAATGGCTGTGAAATAGAAGTTGATTCCAGAAGATGTAATGCCTCTGAGCTGCATGAGAGGCATATGGTTAACTTGCCTCAAAGACCAAAAGGTACCGTGCTCAAATGTACTTTGGAGAAATTAACAAAATGGGTTGGCCACGATAAGATTAAAATAAATTGCTCAATAATGGCACTGGCATTTGTTATTAGGTGATGTGATACGTTGGCATGCTGCCGTGGTGTCATGGTTGGCATATAGGACTTGCAATCCAGAGGTTGCCCGTTTTATTTGATCTCTCCGTGTGGCAGTTTAAACATTGGCGCAATTCCCTTAAGCCCCCCCCGCCCTCCCCACAATCCACCTCTCTTCACCTAACACTATATACAGATAGAGGCCATCCATTTAGTAGGTACGCAAAAATCTGTCAAAACTTAACCCCTCCCCCCTCCCTGTACGCACGCGGACTTTTTACACCCCTCCAGCCCACCTGCGTACGTACGCTTGACGCACCACCTCCCCCCCCCCCCCCCCCGAATCCTACAGAACGGCCGATATTTAATCCACGCAGAAACTATCAAGGATTAATAATATTAACGTGTTTAAGCAAACAGATAGTCCACCGCCGGACAATCTAACTTATTTGAAGGCCAAATTATTATCGAGGCTTCACCCCCCCCCCCCCCGTTTCCTATGCGTACGTACATTGTCAGTAGACCCCCAATACCCAAGCGTACGCATTTGGGTTATCCCCCCCTCTCCCCTCCATGTGTACGTACTAAATGGATGGCCCCATGTGCCACAGTTAGTCGATCATCAGATCAGACGTCCGGTCAGCGGGACGTGAATAGCGGTCCCAAAAACACCTTCTGGATGGCGGCTCTCTACAAAGGTTCCCCTAAGCAGAGGCCCTTCCGCCAACAGTGGCACAAGCGAGTTATTTCAGGGCTGCGCCTTTTTGCCCGGCGTGCTATCCGCCACGCAGGAGGCGCTGGAGTTGCGGCGGCCGGACTTCATCTCCCGCTCCAAGGAGCGGCGGCGCTGGGTGTCGCACCTGGCCGAGGAGAGGCAGACGGAGAAGGTCACCCTGCGCGTGCAGCAGCAGCGACGGTGGCTGCAGCAGCAGCAGCAGCAGATCCAGCGCCACGGCCGTCTCACAGGCAGGAGACACACACACCGAGATTGGTCGAGCGCCTGAAAAAAAATAGCTCGCGGGCGATGGCCGAATACTCGGCAAATCAGCGCACAGCGACGGAGTCGTGATAACCTGAGAATGGCAAACTGGTGCGATGGGCACGAAATGTCGCGCGTTAAGTCGCGTTTGACCGCCCGTGTTATTTTCCCGTGATAGTCTAATGCTGCAGGAGAAAATGTTAATCCGAAATGGTATGTGACCTCCATTTCCGTCACCCAAATTGACTCGGTAAACAAAATACTGGCCTCTTGGTCTTGTGTTCTGGCAATTGTGTGTGTGGGGAAAAAAGCTGTCCGTATAAAGGAACGAGTATTGCCTGTGTCGCTTCAATGGCTGATGCATGCACAGGTGTGGGTACTGATTGCATAGCTTAATATTTTCTAGGAGTCAATCTTTTTTGGTTCTCACCTTGAGCTTAAATCTGCATCTGGTAATGTATACACTAAGCCATTGTAATGCAATGCTGGTTTATTTGTTGCTGTAAACTGCACCGTTGAAGCTTAAAACACTTCATTCCCATCCACATTATAAAGGGTCTAAATAGTCAAAAAGGTAACCTAGTGGGCTATACACTTTCACACAAAATAACGAATACAGTACCACTTTAAACATGGGAGTTGCATCTTGTGCGACTGAACGCAACATTTTTAATCGCTAGCAGCATTCATTGAAATGTGTGTAATTAGATCTACAATTAAAGTGTATACCGTACTATTTTATTTTTAGATCATATCACTGCACGGCAAAGGAAATATCATCCTGCTGAAGAAACTGCACATCCCAGAAAGTACGATTTAGCTTATGAATGTAATTATCGTGTTAATGTGAGTATTGCAATTCAGGGGTAGTTTTAAAAATGTGTTTTTGAATCACAATGGACATTAATGGCAGTCATCACAGTGTAACTGCAGGCACAGATGACACTATCATTCATGACACTAAGCTGAGGGTGATAAATCATCAGCATCAGAAGCAGCCATGTTCTACCCACTGCAGGATTAAGGCCTCCCTATATTGATACTATCTATTACCATCTCACAACCCCCTCTTGCTATGCCACAATCCGTCTTGCTTCTGCATATGAACTGACCTCATCACTCGAAATATTTGATGGTCATCCTCTCAGAGGTGTTTCCTCTTTGGCTGCCACTTTATTCACCAACCTCATTCATTGGCTATCATCCACTCCAGGGATGTGTCCGACCAAACCCCGTCTGACTTTTCTCAGTGTGGGCTTTCGTGACCAATACTATGCATACGTATTTTTTTGCATTAGATTGTGTAAATGTGTTCATAAAAACCCACCTCCACCCAACACTGACAATTAGCAATGTTTGTCATGTGAAAATTACGACATCACCTTACTCTCTTTAAGACTGGAAGCAGGAAGACTTCTTCACAATTCTGGTAATAGCCTGGTGAAGCTGGTTGTAATCACTAGCGAAACGTCGTACTCAAATTGTAAATGTTATGGGTTTACTCTCCAAAGCGCAGGTGTGCTGAATCAGTAACTAATTGGCACGTTTTGTTCACGTGACAAACCTTACTAATTGGCTGTGTCGGGTGGAGGTGGGTTACGACACATTTACATTTGTGCGATATAATCCAAAAAACCTTATTATAAATTACTCTAATATGCATTTGTCCTCTGATCCATGTATCCCTCTTTCTGACTGTGCATTATTCCAAGCATGCAGACATACATTATTCATTCTATTCCTTTCAGCTGTTGTTCCATTTCCCTTGTCAATATCCATGTTATTTTGATCCACATGCCATCGCAGCTAATATGCACTCAATTGAACTGCAAATGCCAAAAACAACAGAACGTGTATACCTTGAGCAATGATTGAAGGCAGGTTGAGATCAAAACCATGGCGTAGAGGCGAGCTGTGACAGCAGGTTGTATTGCTTTGGTAAATCTGAACATAATGATCATAATCTTTACTTGGACTGGAGGAATAACACGGTTTAAAAAAAAAAGTATTGGGTAGTAAGTGTTATTTCCTAATTTCTGATGCCCGCAAAGTACAGAAAATGGCGATTATTCCCACAAACTTTGCTTTTGTCACCAGGACAGTGATATTTCCAGAACATTCCAGATAGATTCAGTGCTGAGTAAACTAGAGAGCATTCTAGAACTTTCCAGTAATTAAAATCTATATATAAGGGAAATTTGTGAATATGTGTGTCTGTTCGAAATGTTTAGCATACTTCCCGACATGCAACAAACTTTAAATTTGGCATGTGGGTAGTTTCCAGACTGTACACCATGTGTGTGTGTGTGGGGGGAGCGGTAGTGTAGTGGTTAGCGCGCTGCGCTACGAACCCGGCGACCCGAGTTCGATTCCCCCTCACGGCCACCACCGGTGACGATTATTTGAACCGGTCCTGGGCCTCCCCTAGGTTGACTCAGCCTCAAACGAGTAGCTGGTGTGGTGTGTGAACATCGCCACTGGGGAGACAAAGGCGGCCGTGCGTGGTGAATCCAAGTCCCGGGTGAAGCCGGGTAATAAAGCTAGTAGTAGTATAAATACAGGAGCCTTAAGCCCACCAGTTCAGTTTAGTTCCAGCTGCCTAAGTGGATACATATCTGCATTTTTCCGAGATGGCATTAAGAGGCTGCAAGCATCCGGCAGACGCATTTTGCTATGTCCGCGGCCAATTTATCAAGACAAGAGCATAAAAGTACTCTGTGGAAGCGTCTGCTAATATGTGTGAGGCCTACAAGGCATATTTCGGCATGCCTGCCGGGGATCAAGACAAACCCTGGGCACCTCATTTCACCTGCGAGCAATGCAAACAAACTCTGGAAGGTAAGATGGACAATTGTTGCCCGGAATTTTATGTCATAAAAGTTGTACAAAAAATTGTAAATTGTAAAAGTTTTTAATTTTAAAATGTTTTACAATTTACAATATTATTGAAACACATTCCTGCGGAGGGAGCTGGTAGGAACGATGGGTTGGTCGGTTAATGGCCAGGGACAACGGCGGCGTGGTGTATTCCGCAAATATGCGCGACTGTGAGGGCGGGCACAAGCCGGCGTGAGTAGGTTAAACGTTGAGTTTTATAAGGGCACCACGGGGTGACCAGCCCCTCCCCACCCAGCCCCACCCATCCCACCCCCCACTCAGCCCCACCCTCCCCACCCCCCACCCAGCCCCACCCTTTCCACCCAGCCCCTCCCCACCCTCCCCAGCCCCTCCCCACCCTCCCCTCCCCACCATCCCCTCTCCACCCAGCCCCACCCCTCCCATTTTATCCGGGTGTCCGGATACACGTGGACAGACATCCACAGACATACACAATTAATCCCCTGCCTCCTGTGAATTAATCCCGGTTGGGCTTCCAGTCCACTACGTTGCCTACCAGTAAAAAGATAGCATATATGAAAATGTTGCAAGAATCTCTTACACATTAGTCATGGGTGAAATGAATGCATTTTTGTAGGATGGTACAGAGGGGAAAAGAGAGCCATGAAGTTCACTATCCCAAGAATTTGGTGGGAACTCACTGACCACTCAAGCAACTGCTACTTCTGCATGGTGGACCCTTCCAAACGTCGGACCTCATCCATCGCCCCGGTGCCACATTGCCATGAGCTCCCCATACCCACTCCTCTGGAGAGAGAGCAGTCGTCTTTAGAAGAGAGCAGCAAGTCAGAGAGCGAGGAAGACACTGTAGATCCAGATGACAATTTCAGAGGTGGAACTGAGGAGAGAAACCCATACTACCCCAACCAAAAAGACCTCAACGACTTGATGAGAGATATTAGTCTCACCAAGGCGCACTACCACAGGCGGGACTGGCCACAGCGGACCGAGTTCTCTGTGGGGAGGAACAACGTCAAGTGGGAGCCACTGGTGGACCCCCGGAAGGTGCTGATGCCACCACTGCACATCAAATTGGGCCTTATGAAACAATTTGTCAGAGCTGTAGATAAGGAGTCGGCAGCCTTCAAGTACCTTCAAGACTTCTTCCCTAAGCTGTCTGAGGCAAATGTCAAAGCTGGTGTCTTCGTCGGACCACAGATAAAGAAGATCCCGGAGTGCAATGAATTTCCCAAGAAGCTCACTAGTAAGGAGAAAGCAGCTTGGAACAGCTTTGTCGCAGTGGTTCGTGGCTTCCTGGGCAATCATAAGGTCGAAAACTATGTGGGGCTGGTTGAGACTCTGGTGAAGAACTACGGCGCAATGGGCTGTAGGATGTCCCTCAAAGTCCATATCCTTGATGCTCATCTTGATACATTCAAGGAGAACATGGGAGCGTACTCGGAGGAGTAAGGCGAGTGCTTCCACCAGGATATACTGGACTTTGAATGCCGCTACCAAGGACAATATAACGAGAACATGATGGGAGACTACATTTGGGGGCTGATTCTTGAAATTGATTAACAGTATTATCGTAAATCTCGAAAAACTACTCGCTTCTAAATATGTTGTAGTCATTTTTGTATTACTTTAGTATAAATACATGTTAATTTTGATTCATATGTTGTTGTTTTTCTGACTTTGTGAACGATAAGAAAAAAATTCGCCTATTTTCTCATTTAAAATAGGTAAATTTCTAAATATCACTGTCCTGGTCACAAAAGCGAAATTTGTGGAGAATAATAGCAATTTTCTATACTTTGTAAGCATAAGCAATTAGGAAATAACACTTACTACCCAGGAACAAAAATTGTGTTACATAGTGTAATGAAAGAAATGTACCAACCTGCCTAAAACAGAGGGTGATACATTTGGCACAAATGCAGATTAGGCAGGCTAGAAGTTCGACATGCTAAGCAGATATTCAGCTCGAAACAAAATGAACTGCCTATATAAAAAAAAATACGTGCTTAATTCCATCATTAATGCTTAGCAACTGACATATGTGCGTGGGTCATTTTTTTATACGCGTATATACAGTATAGTAGGAGTTGCCCAAAATGGAAACTTCACAACTTCATTGGAGCGTTTTTGAAAGATAAAGGCAATAAAGGTGAAAGCCCTGCAATTTCTTTGCTCATGCCACTGCTGGTGGAAGAGTCTCCACTTGTGGGATCTCTTAGACAGCCCCCCTGGAGAGAATTTGCCCTATGCAGTACACTTCTATGCTGGCTAGACTTGGAAGATAAAGGAATGCCCACAATTTATCCTTCACACGAAAGACTTGCCGAACAACCAACCCCGGCATACCCATTCGTACTGTTGAGTGGCTAGAGGTAGGGATAATTTAAATAACTTGCTCATTGTTATAATCATTACACCACGACAGCATCCCCTGCATTTTTGAAAAGTTCAGCTTTGATTAAAAATGTACCCCACGTAGCACTGAGTTTCAGATATACAGCCGGGCAATTAGTGAATTATACCGAGAAGGCAACAATTATTGTGCTCCCCGCTGTTATCCGTGCAATGTCTTGGCCGTCCACTATTCCTCCATTTTCTAATTTTAATATGAATCGCATGATGTTGAATGACTCAAACCTCTTGACGTGGCTTTCTTTGTGTGGTGGAAACATATTTAATGCCTAAAAGCACTTATGATCTAAAGGCCATTATGTATTTGTTACACTTGCTCCCCTGGAAATATTGCGCTTCCATTGCTCAGCATATCGGGTTTGCACCCCTGAATTTCATACATGCATTCCACTAACAACTTTGATAGTGCATACTGACCTTTTAAAAAATGCCACCAGGAGAAATACAAATCTTGGTACGATGTTTCATTTGAATTTGCTCTTTTGAGCAAATCACATTAATTATATGCCAACTGTTTTACAGCGCATTGTACATTCACTGCAGAGTCAATGATGTTTACCAGAGGTCCAATGAGCTGTGTACTGCATAATTAGTATGCTGACTTGCTTGAGGACCAAGCGTCATGGCTTTGGTTTTAGTATCGTAGAACGTAATAATACAGGTACAGAACTGTATTTGTTCTGTATATGCCAACAAATATAGCTCGCGTAATGGACAAAACAAAATCCGGCTCAAAAAAGGGATTAACGTTCGAGTTTGTTTACATAGTTGGTTGTATGTATAAAGCTGCTCGGCACATGTTCCACGTGCAACGTTAAAGAGTGTGGTTGCCCCCTCTTTAATAGTTTGTGTACACTACTTGCAGCCCATTTGTTAAGCCATTGCTGGACGAGGCCTCTTCCCCGCTGCGTGCTGGGTTCAAAAGTGGGTCATTTGACCCGGCGTCATCACGCTGGTCGGCATGGATCGGTGGAGACGGCGGGAAGCATATATGTGGCAGTAAAGTACAGTACACCAAATGCTTTTGCTGTACATCTCCCGTTTATTAAGGTGTATGTACTGCATATGCATGGTGGCGTCACCCATCCAAGCACTATGCAGGTCGCTTATATTCTGAGCACAGATGAGATCAGGCAAAGCGATTGGGTGATGGGATGAGATGATGGGATCAGGTGCATTCCAGGTGATTTTGGTCATGGGCATTTAAAGTAATTACTGCATTATAACGTGAATAACAGCTTAGCATAACAGCTCAGTACTGTACACGGGCATGTGCCGAGGGTGTGTTGCAACCACTCTAGCGTATTGTTCCACCCCAACAGCGACTTCTCTGTCTGTGTGTGTGCGCGCTTATTGTCCACGCAGAAAACACGAACACTTGCCTGATGTGAAAAGACGAAGGCAACCAGGGGAAAGGCCAAAGTCCCATCGCACTCCATATCGTGAGCATGCAGATTTCGTGCCGAAGGTAATATTGGATTTAGCTTAACCTGACTTGTGTGTTCGTCATCACGATGGTCATCAGCCATGGTCAGTCTACTGCCGGATGAAGTCCTCCCAAAGCCGCCGACATCACTCACGACCCTGTGATAGAATAATCGACCAGCACCTGCACAGGAGCCGATTTCATTACCCCGTCTTCTTAATGGACGTACTTTCTGACTTTTTTTTGGATGCCACTTTGTTGCTAGTTTTGACCACCGACGACCATCTCGTCCAGCGATGTGTGCTGCCCAAGTTCACTTATTTTTCTGAACAGTTTGAACAATGTCATTACCCTGCCTGTATTGTATAGTCCATGTGTCCCTCTTCCTGCCCCTCCAATATAATTGCAACCATTCCTCTTTGATAACTTTTTGACATTTATTCAATGTTTTCCCGTTCATGACCACGTTGCCAAACGATCGTAGCAGGCAATACACATTGATTCAACATTTTCTTCTGTAGACACAAGCATGTGTGTGTGAATTTTTAAATTAACTCTGGTAATATCGTTGTTGTCGTATAATTAAACTCGTCGTTCGTTTTCTTTGTAGAAACTTGGTATCCAAACCTCGTGGGAGAAAATGTGAAAACGACTGTTCACTCCAGAACTTCTAAGAACTTTTTCTTATATATATAAATTGATGTATTATTTGTGATGCTGAATTATGAATATATTTTGTTGTAACTAAATTTTGTAACAAAAATATAAATAAATGTGAACAGATTTTTACTGTTTTATGAAACGCGAAAACATATTGCATATCGTAAAATGCACTTTGGCAATACTCTGTACAATCGTGCGAAACCTACAAGAATAGTTTAAATGTATTTTGCATTGTGTGTATATGATGCGCATTTTAAATAAGGGGTAACCCAAAGGTTTAAGACATACAACTCAAGAGCCTTGGCTCCTGTATAAATTGGTGTATTTATAAATCACGTTTAAAACTTTGGCTTAATTCAGTAGGTGCATTGGTGTGATTACTGTATGTAAAAACAAATACTCCAATGTGTATGTGAATTTATGTCTATTTTAAGGTTTAAAATGTATGTTTAAAGGACTCGTTAAGCTATCACTTGCTGCTGGTTTTTGCCATGGGTAGGAATTAAATCAGGTTGCTGAGTTCAAAGAAAAGTGGGAAAAAGTCTGTACCACCAATTCACCCATATCATACATGTTATATAATTACAGTACCTAAACGCTGCTTTTATTTTTTAATACATAATTTCATACCAATATCATAAAATATATTCTGTACACTTTATTTTGCTTGAAATGTTCAATACGGTAAATGTACCGAGGTCTCATGTGTTGTATCGTGTGCTTGGATGGCTGTAGCAGTTATTCACTTCTCTGTGTTTGACAGATTGTTGTTTATATGAGATGCAGTAGTGGATATTGATCACCTACACCCTCAAGCGAAAATTGACTAAGATGAGCATGTTGCTGATAAAACCATATCGAGTATATCGGAACACTGTAGACAGCACCCGGGGACCAGAGATAGATTTTTTTAGTTCAGAGCTGTTTCATTTTAACACTGACTGTGATAACTGTTGGGCTCATGTGCAACCCATGAAAATATACATGCAGATTAAAAAATATACAGGTACTCTTTGGTTCTATTCGGTAAAGTCACGTAGGTAAAAAATAAAACAACAAAAATCACGACGTTTCGGCCACAACACAAGTGGCCTTCATCAGGTGAAGGGGACCGTGCTGTCTTCGTGAAGGGGACCGTGCTGTCTTCGTGACAGCACGGTCCCCTTCACCTGATGAAGGCCACTTGTGTTGTGGCCGAAACGTCGTGATTTTTGTTGTTTTATTTTTTACCTACGTGACTCTACCGAATAGAACAAAAGAGTATGGATCCTTGCAGTCACGAAAGCTTCAAATCTAGAATATACGGGTACATCTCTGCAAATTTCATGCTCAGACCACTGCTGCTGAAAGGCACCTCCACCAGAAGGAGCTCTAGAGGACCCCCTATACCTTGGCCTAGTCTTCCACGCTGGCCATACGTCTAGGAAGTGGTGGGAATACTCACATTCTACACCACCACACCCCACCTGCCGATGGACTGTACCCATTTATTATGCTTGGTGGACAGTTGGAGATTCTTAAAAAAACTTAACCATTCATCCACTGCCACTCCCGGAGATGAAACTGGCAACCTCTGTATTTATACAGCCATGTATTAATTAAGGTATTTGATCAATTCTGCTTCTTCAACAATACAGTAGTAATTATTAATAACGTAACTGGTCATTGTGTATCATTATTTGATATTCAAGACACACCCCGCTTTTGAAATATTAGTGATTGCTGCCAAATCAAATACATTCCAGTGCGTATGAGTGTCTATATTGCGAGAGCAAACACCATGAATATGGAAATTTGTAATTTGTGGAAAATTAAAACTAAATTGACCATACCCAGGAGATGAGTTAACAGATCAAAGGCATGTAACTAAATCCTTTCAGAATAACTTGTCACAAAATAAATACATTCTTATAAACATTTTGTCGTATTCAGTATTTACATTTTTGCAGTTCCATACATTTGGAGCAAATATGTGATATATGCAGAACAAAAAAAATAATCTGTTTCCAAGATGAATTAAAGTAATTCCAGCAGAGGAAGTGCATAATTCCCACTGGATTCAGATAACCAGGAAATGTTCAATATGTCATTTTATTTCTATCAATTGAACATATAAATATTACAGGGTAGGCAATCAAACTTTAGATCATATGATGCTCAGATATGAGGAAAATAATACTGAACTACATATGTTGCACTTGTTATCAAGGCTTATTTTTGTCTCCTTAACTACAATTTGTATAACACGTTAACCTTTTGGCTTAATTCACTGAAAATAGTGTATGCGTATATTTTTTTAATGCTGTTCTAAATAGTTGGTTGAATCCCCTCACACTTATGCAATATAGGCATACAATAATGTAGTTGTAAATATATGTTATTACTGAATTACCATTACACTTACCTAGCCTCTTGCCATCTTGTCAAGTTGTATTTCTTCGAAATTTACCAATCTTCAATTAAACGCCTCCCTACTATTGAGTTATTATGGTACGGTATATTATTTCTAATTCACCAACCGTTGAAATAAATTGCTCCCCGTTTGAATTTTTTCCATTAATTATTCTCTTCTCACCACAGTTCCCAGTAATTTAAAGCAGGGATGTGTCACTCCATTAAATCGGGCCTCAAGTTTACTAAAAAAAAAGCCTGTAATTTCACCAGCGTTGATTATGTTAAAAGTTTTGAAATCTACAGACTCTGGTAAATGGACACAGCACCATCAAGTAACATTAACCTATGTGTTGTGCCGAGCTCATGGCTAAGTGTTTCAATGGGACGAGGAAGGCAACGTAATTATTCAGTGGCCTTTTTTTGTGCCCGTGTTGTTCACGCATGATGTCCGGCGCTTTGCACCATGTGGAAACGTCACAACTGCAAGATTCTACGCGGTAATAATGATAGGGGGCCGTCCATAAATGACGTCACGCACCTAGGGGAGGGAAGGGGGGGGCGGTCAGACATTTGTGACGATGTGTGACGAGGGGGAGGGGGGGGTTTGAGAAATTGACGTCACGTAAAAATGCACAACTTTAAATAAATATAGACGACACGTTCCACTTAATTAAATAGACTTTTTAATAAATGTTTTCTCCTACAACATCAGAGTGCAGCGCCACATTAAATACGCACTACAATGACAATAGTTTAAAGCGATTTGAAGCATGTGTTTTTTTGGGGGGGGGGCAGAGCTTTGTGACGTCATATTTGTGGGGGGGGGGCTGACTTTTTGTGACGTGTGAGGAAGGGGGGGTAAAAAATCGTCCAAAATCACGTGACGTCATTTATGGACGGCCTCATACTCATTTTCTGCCCTTTAATTCCATTGCTGGATGCAAGAGTTCTTTCGACCTGTCGGTCATGGGGATTGCTTGACCATACTTCATGCGAATCGGCGACGATTGGTGACCCAGAAAGTGCTCGGAACCAGTTCGGATATCACTAAACCGTTGCTGGGAACCGAACACGAGTCGCTGGCTTTATAACAAAGTGTAGCTCATGACTGAACCACCAATCATCCATTAAAATGTGTATGGATCTGAAAATAAATTCCGTTCAACGTTCTACCTCAATAATTATCCTCAACAGATGTGGCCTCAACGTCTTATGCACATCTTAAACACAACGCAGTATTGTATACCAGTCCCATACGTCGGAAGGAGGGGGGGGAGGCTCAACCCCCCCTCTCCCACACCTGCTGAATGCTGGGGGAGGGGGGGCCTTAATTCCTTGGTACAATTAGGCGATGATTGTTCCACGGTTCCACCCTTTCCTCGTATACACGGGGATGGGGGTGAGAGCAAGAGCAGAGTGCACGATAGACAGAAGCAGATGGTACCGTTTCTCATTCTGTTCAGCGTGTTTAAGATTTGTTTAAAGTGTGTTTAACCCTGACCGTCGCCACCCCCCCCCACCTCCCCCTTTAAACAAAGTCACGCTACCTCACACGCGCGTTTCCAGGCTTGGTCATATAACTACTTTAATGTATCGTCTACGGTGACATCAACATGAGTATTATCGTATTAAACTGTCTGAATGTTCTTTTCTATTTTTTTAAATGCCACCAAGCTTTTAAAAACCAGTTCGGTCAGCTTGTGTGACCTGCGTGGGTCTTTCAGCTTTTTTTTTAATCTTGCGAAAGATTTATGGTTTTGTAGTCACCAGGTGGTACGTAAAGAAGGACTTCATTGCCCAACACTCTTCTCGCTACCTGACGAGCAAGAGCACTGCTGTGGAGGGATGCCGTACATTCGTCAATAATAATAATAATATGCGACGTTTCGGACAAAGGCCCTCATTGCCGAAAGCGTCACTTCTTGTCAGTTTTCCTTTTAGGGCAGTGTCATTGACGAATTCGTTCCAGACTGCCACTTGCAAACGCGGTTTAAAAAAAAATATTGCGCGTGTGTAACAGAGTTAACGACTGCTGTATTCTGGCTTTTCGAGGTTATATTGATGTCAATCACTGTCATATAATCAAACACCCTGTAATAAACATCTGATTATGGGATGGGATCACTCACCCCTCCCCCCACACTCTTTGAGCATGAATTGTCATGATTTGGAGTCCATTCGAGAATAATTGGATTATTTGTGGCTCGATTTGCTGTTTCAATGTATTCTTTCCGGTATTTCTGTCTCATTTATACAGTTGCATTTGTTTCATTCGAATATCTGCAAAAATCAATGAAATGTAAGCAATTGATTTTCACAAGCATAATTTGATGCCTGCTTTGCAAGCACTATCGATATTTTAGTCGATTTTCCCAACGCATGCCAATTGCGCCATTTATGTAACGTCACGAAATTAAGAATCCATTTGGGTATCTCGCAAAGCGGCGAAACAACGTGTGTTCGAGAATGGGCTGAGGAAGGCATGTTTCAGTTCTCCGGAAAAGTCGTGTGGCTTTTAAAAATATGGTACGCAGCAGAGGGCGCACTTTCACTTGTGCGCTTCAAAGAGATTGTCGGATGACGGTCAAACCCGATGTTTTTAAAATCCCAGTGGTCGGGCTTAGGAAATTGAGTGCAACATTATGTAACAAAATCGGGGTTTTTATCTCTGTGCAAGTCATTGTTTTCTGAGCTGAGATTTGAAACGATGACCCGCTATGCACGTCACGTGACAACCGATTATACTGGACCGTATTTTAAAGCATTTGGTAATGCTGCGTTGGCAGCGCACAAGCAGAGTTTGCACAAACAAATCAACACATTCAGAAATAACACAGCCTTAAAATATCTAAATACAGGTGACGCTTTGGAAAATCTCCCTCATAAAAGTTTTAGGCAATGCTCCTTCATCGAACAACCATTGCGTGAAATATCACCTATTATATATGTTTCAATGTTTTAAGGCAATGTTATTAATGAATGTGGGGTTTTTTGTATACGGTATATAGAGTATGCTTGTGCTGACAAATCATGACTAAATGTTGGTAAAAAAAATATCGCTGCATTTTGTTCTCTGATATTTTCATCAAATGCAGTTTAAACAATAACAAATTACTACCTCTGAAAATGTCATCACAAAGACCACACAAAGATTGATAAATTAAAATTTCACACCATAACCTGGATTCAATGGAAATAATTGTTCTGCAAATATCCATTTAATTGAGTTTCTTAGAGAATTCAGGCTCAGGGATCTACGTGGAATAATGAAGATCATATACATGTATATTAGGTATTATAAATGTCATCTGTAATGTGTTTCAAAAGGCTTGTTTAAGTAGCATATTGTTTAACACTAATTACCTTCACATTTCTTGAATTTTTTTTACTTAATTGCCGGACAAACGTCCTTTACATGAATATTTTTGGAGAGCTACGGTACGTATTTAGACTCGTATTTGAAGTAATTGCAAAACTATGAAATAAATTAACGAATAATGAACTCGTGAAACAGTGCTGCGAGCGCGCACAAGAAGTCACAGGCAGTTTTAACAAAGGAGGCCTTGTTTTGTTTTGAGTACTGTTGACTATTAGCTACGCATGGGTAATTTGGTCATAAAATTGGCATCCTGTGGCCTCGTACAATGAGTGTCATGGGATCGACAACATCATCAACATGGCAGG